GCAGGACCCAAGGTGTTTCCACCTACGCCTCCATCTTGGCGGAAGTCCACCTATAGTTGTAATTTTGATATGGTTGTGTAAGTAGGTGGGCCGTGTTTACCTATGCCATCATCTTTGGTATAGAGTTTAAATACAGCTAGTGAGAGCAGAGGGAATGGACAACCTGAGCTGTAGCATGGTGGTGGGAAAGATCTTGGTGTATGAGTGGAACAGTGAGTAAGCCAACTACTCCGGACATATTTGTGAAGGGAAGTAATAGGAAATAGATTTGAACATCTGTGAAAGCTGAATAGGCCTTTATTGTTAGGGAATAGAAAGCTATTGAAGCCCTGGCTGGCATGGCTCAGTGGATTGAGTGCTGGACTGTGAAGCAAAGGGTCTCCGGTTCGATTCCCAGTCAGGGCACATGCCTGGGTTGTGGGCTGGGTCCCTGGTTGGGGGCACACAAGAGGCAGCCACATATTGATGTTTCCCTCCCTCTCTTTCTCCTCTGCCTTCCCATCTCTCTAAAAATAAAGTAAAATAAAATCTTTAAAATAAAAAGAAAGAAAGCTGTTGAAGATTTTATTAAAAGAATTTGACTTGATAAATACACATTTTAAGAACATTTTGGTTCTAGCCACTGTGGCTCAGTTGGTTGGGTGTTCTCCCACAAACCAAAAGGTGGTCAACAGTTCTATTCTGATCAGGGAACATACCTGGGTTGTGGATTCGTCCGTAGTCAGGGCTTACAAAGGGCAGCTGATTGATATTCCTTTCTCACATCAATGTTTCTCTCCCTCCTTTCTGCTCTAAAATCAATAAGAATGTCCTCAGGTAAAGTGTAAGAAAAAAAGATTATTTTGACACAATCAGAGAATGGATTGAGAGCCCTGGCTAATGTGGCTCAGTGGATTGTCAGCCTGCAAACCAAAAGGTCACCTGTTTGATTTCCAGTCGGCACACCTCTGTGTTGCAGGCCAGGTCTACAGTTGAGGGTGTGTGAGAGGCAACCAACCACATGATCTCTCCCTCTCTCCCTCCCTTCCCCTTTCTTTAAAAATAAGTAAATAAATAAATATTTTTTAAAAAGAGTAAAATACTCTATTAAATCAGTTATTGATGCACTAGTTTCTCAAATACAATGTCAGACATCCCACTACTTTTATGTTGCCTCTTTTCTTTTACTTTTATAATAAAAAAAGTTAAAGAATAGATTTTACAGGTTATATTTAAAGCAGACTGCAGAGAGGTTATAACTTGGAGTAGGGGGACATGAGGCACCTTCAAGGGAAGAACAGGGAAAATTTGGTAACTGATCGAATACAAGAAGGGGTATTGCTTGCCTGCTGTGTCCTCTATGCAGTGTAGGTTGTTTGATGTGTCCTGTGAGAGAGATATTATTAATCATATTTTACAGATGAAGATCTAGGCTCAGAGAGTAGGCAACTAATCCAGTATCACACAATACGTAATGGCAATCCTGGGATTAAATTTAAGTCTGTCTGATCCAGAGCCACACTACATCTGGCTAATCTCTTCTGACATAAAGGAGATGAGCCACAAGGATTCTAATCTTTCCATCTAGCAAGACTGTGACACTCATATGCTACTGAATGGATAGAAGTTGAAAGGCAGAGCCAGCCCTTGTGGGAAGAATAATGATAACTGGTTTTTGAATTATTAAGTTTGTGTTTATACTAAGCATTTATTTAGAAACATCCAGTAAATTGTAAAGTTGTATAAGCAGAGCTTTAGTGAGAGAACAGAATTGAGGAGATTTTTTATAGCTGTTAGCACAGAGATAATGTCTGATACCGAAAGAAAAAGAGAGGGAGAGTCCATGGAGAGAGAAAAACATCCAGGGCACCAAACCTTGCAGAATGTCCACATTTAGAAACATAGACTAGTTGACAAAAGAAAAGGAGTCGATTAAGCAGAAAAAGGATGAAGATGGCATAATATTATGTAAGCGGAGAGAGTTTCAAGAAAAATGTAGCATTATAAAAGACAGAATAGTGGGAAATGTCATCAGTGACCTCTGAGATGTATATTTTGAATCCAGCTTTCAAGAATGAAAGGGAGATGCATGGAACAGCAGGGAGACTGAGTTTCAAGTGTGCAGAGCAGGCTAAACTGTGGGTGAGGAACCTTTCTTTTAGATACACTGACTCACTGACAAAATAATTTTAAAAAATAAAATGAAACTTTCAAAACTATTTTTAAATATTTTACTCATACCTTTATAATTAAAGACTAGGAATAAAGCTCTACTGAAATTAGAAAATAATTTTTTAAAATCAATTTATTTATTGTAATTAGAAGAAAATGATGCAGATAGAAAAAGACTAAAATAGAACGAGGGGGGAAAGCACTCGCCTTTAAAATATATAAAATTACTTATGTCTGTGTATATCTATATAAAGTTGTTATTTAATTTACATAGAGATGAGTTCTACAGAGATATACACGGAGACATAAGCTGTGTGAGAGGAGACACCTCCATGCAAAACTTCATATATCAAGCGACTTAAAGTCTTATAGGTTTGTCACTTTTGGTACAAATAGGGACAGTATTCAACCATTACATAAATATTCCAAAGTAGATGATTACCAGATAGTCTTGGTGCAAGCAGTGGAGGGTGATACTCTTGATATGCAGTACAGATCCAATGGTGTTACTCTCTATACCTGGTATCTAATGAATTGAAATGTTTTAAAGTTAAAGGAATTCTATGGCATGTATTACATTATCTCCTCTCCTCCAAAAGATTAATGTTTATAATTACGTTTTGTTATTGACACTCTTTTAAGGCTATCAGCAAATTTGTCCTTCTCTCTGGAGGGAGACATTATCTCCAAAGCTTTTCACTATACAAACACCCTTGAAAAGATTTTCCGGAACAAAGGGGCAGGCAGTGCCTCATTTGCAAGATTTGCAGAAACAAAAGACTGATAGAGAATTGTCTCCCAACACCAGTATGAACTCATGAGGTATTTCCTATCTCTGTCCACTGAAAAGACCTAGAAACAGTGACCAGTCCAGTTGCAGTGAACGTCCCTAGCAACCAAACGTGTTCTTGAAATATTATTTCTCTTAGAAAGGAATCAGGGCTTCTTGGAGAAATAGCTGATTCCAGTGTGGGTCAAGAAGTATTCAAGATATTCATGGAACATCTTGTTATACCATTGCAAGAGCCATGTCCAAAGAACACAAAACTTAATTTAGAGAGGCTCCCACTGGCCAAAGATGGGAAAAGTAGAGTTTCAATAATAAATAATTGATTTAAACATATTGGATGTGTTACCTTGAGTTCATAATGATATTTTTAAAAAATATCATTGGTCAGAGGATTAAAAGGACCTTAATTCAGCCCTGGCTGGTGTGGCTCAGTGGTTGAGTGCTGGCCTGTGAGTCAAAGGGTCACTGGTTCAGTTCCCAGTGAGGGCACCTGCCTGGGTTGTGCCAGCACCCCAGTAAGTGACGTGGGAGAGGCAACCGCATATTGATGTCTCTCTCCCTCTGTTTCTCCCTCCCTTCCTCTCTCTAAAAAATAAATAAATAAAATCTTGAAAAACAATAAAGGACCTTTATTATATTGACCAAAAAAAAGGTATTGGTATGTTAGTAAAACTGGTAAATAAACAGGATCAAGCATTAGAGGAAATGTCTCTTTATAAATATATTTTAATTAAAACAGAAATGATAGAATTAGACTGTCACCATTTTACAACCCCATGAAACAGTAAGTATCAAAGGCTATCAAGACCATAAAAAGAGAGACAACCAGACTTACCAAGGAGCTCAAGCTAGTGTCTGATCCAGTCTTTGGATATAGCTGCCAACTGCAGTCAATAGAGAGGGCAGCAGAACAGGTGGAATTTTTCCAAGAGTATGCAGTCAACAAAAATCAGACTGAGAAATTCTACAGGTCAACAGTCCAGATTCCTCAACAGATAATTTGTAGAAAACAAAAGAGATGGATGGAGAACCTTTAGATTAAGGGATTTACAAGACGAAATCAGCCCTGGCCAGAGTGGCTCAGTTGGGTGTTGTTCTGCAGTCTGAATGGTCATGGGTTTGATTCCTGGGTGGGCACATGCTAGGGTTGCAGTTCATCCATAGTTGGGGCACCTGGGGGGGCAACTGATCCATGTTTTTCTCCCTCCCTTTTTCTCTCTCTAAAATCAAAGAACATGTCTTTGGTCGATGATAAAAAAAAGAATTTAAAAGACGTAATCAGCTTTTTTAAATGGACAAGACTAACTAGTACTTAAGGCAGCACATTTAGGTAATACAATTGTTTTTTTAAAAAGGAATAAATCTCAGAATAATGATTATGCATGAGAAACAGAGGAGATTGTAACTGGGAAGAGGTATATGGGAGGGCTTTCAAGGTGACTGACAAAGTTCTTTCTTTTGATCTTGTGGTCATTAAGCTATATGTTTGATTCATATGGCTTTCTATATCTGTATATTATTGCATAATAAAAACATTTTTTAAAATGTATTTGATAAGAAGCTAGCTTAGGCATTAACATCCTTTTGTGATAATCTTCCCACTCAACAGAGCAAAGCTAGAGCTACATTTCAGTAGATCCTCGAAAACTTGGGAGGACCTTTCCAGTTGTTCATCATTATCCAAATGCTATGTAATTAAGCATGCTTTTATTTATGGCACCATATAGCCCAAAATGGGATCGGATAGTTCAAGCAGAAAATGTCCTAATATTATTTTCTTATAGTCTTTTTATAAAAGTAAAATTTATTATAGAAAATTTAGAAACATAAAAAGTAAAATAAAAATCTGCTGTTATTCTGTTTCTAGGGATAACCATACATATTTTGTTATGTTTCCTTTTATTTATTACTCCATTTACATTTGGAAAATATGGTTTTGTACCTACTTTATGTTCTTATCTCAGTCTTTAGTTCATGTTCAGACCTTAGATTACAACATTTAAGATCTTTATACTTTTCAAATTAGAATTCATTAATAGCTTTGGATATTTTTTCCTAGGTGGGCTACATCACGCAGCTGCCCGAATTGCTGGTGACAATGTCTATAAGCATTTGAAGTATGAAGGTGGGATTCACCGAGTTCAGCGAATCCCTGAGGTGGGCCTGTCGTCAAGGATGCAGCGTATTCACACGGGAACAATGTCGGTTATTGTCCTCCCTCAACCAGATGAGGTAAAGTCACCAGGAGACATTGAAACTTACTTCTTTGTAAATGGGTATTATGCTAAAAAGCATTAGCTTCTTGGAAATTATGTGATTTTTAGGATTATAGATTGAATTCAGCAGTCACTTTTGGATTTTCCGAGTAAATCCTTTTCCAGGTAAAGTTGCCTATCTTATCCCTGACCAAAATGTTTTGTTTTGTTCTAAATAGAAGTCACTTCTCGTAAAACAAAACCCACAAAGCTTTTTAAATGTTGTTGCCTAAGTTTTATCTTAAGAAAAAAATGAATTCCACAGATAATATTTTGAAGGCAGTGATATGTCTATATAGGGGTAAATGGCTTATTGGTTGAATATATTCATATTCCCATATTTTTAATTCCTAACTTTTAAAGAAAATTTATAGTAAATGTATAGAAAATGGAAAAAATAGCACACTGAAAACTTTTATAACCTTCACCTGGAGTCAGTTGTTCACATTTTGCCACATTTTCTTTATTCCTATGTATGTATATATACACACACATGTATGTATGCATATATCCTTTATACATAGTAGACACTATTGGGCCTTTAACTCCCTCCAAATCTTTAACTTAAATGTCCTAAAAATAGGAATGCTCTTATATAAGCTCAATACCATTACCTATGAAAATTACACATATTTCTGTAATATTATTGTCTAGAAAAAAACTCCTATGTATTTTGTCTATTCACAGAATACCTGTACTTCAAACATGTGTTTTATTCTTCCCATCAAACAATTCACCAGTTCTCTACAGACACCAAGTGGGTGTCCTAAAATTTAGTTAAGATTTTCTGCTATTTACGTGGAGTTAGCATCAGATCTCACAGGCTAAAGGCTCAATCCACAAGACTGCCTCCCTTCTTCCTTCAGAGGCCGGTAGCAAGCCCAGGTGTTACTTATGCTTCTGACCAGCTGGTTATATAAATTGGAAGGTTCCTACAACCCCTCCTTGGGTTTGAATAATTTGCTAGAGTGATTCATAGAACTCAGTTCACTTAAGAGATTTCTAGTTTATTACAAAGGATACTCATAAGAAATACTCAAATGGAGGAGAAGCCTGGGGCAAAGTACATGGGAAATGCTGCGGAGCTTCATACCCTCTCCAGGCATGTGACTGTCTGGCACCACCACAAATTCCCCAACCCGGAAGCTCTCTGAATCCTATAATTTGGGAGGCATCAATATGTAGTCATGATTGATTATATAATTGGGGGTTAATTCAGTCTCCAGCCCCTCTCTCCTCCCTGGTAATGGGGGAGGGAGGCGGTGAAAGTTTTAACCGTCTTAATCACATGGTTGGTTCCCCTGGCAATCAGCCCCCATCCTATGTAACCAAGGGCAGCAGTTTTTTTTTCATCTCGTGACACACATGAACTAATCACTAAAATTTTGTCACGTACCACCTCCTACCCCCCAAAAAACAGGTGTAATTTTGATTTATTCACACTGACAGCTACTGTTGTGTTGGCTGCTGTCCCTGTTTTATCTGACAGTTTAAGTGAAAAGAGGTTGGTGCCCCTAATTAATCAGGTATTACAGGCTTTTAAATTTTTTGAGGCAAACAAGTTGAAAATAACTGATCTAGGAGCTTTCCAATAATTACATTAACATAAACTCAGGTTGAAAGGGCTTGTTATGAATAACAAAAGGACAGCCATATCACAGATAAGAAATTCCGAGGGTTTTAGGAGTTCTTTTGCCAGGCATTGGGCAAAGACCAAGTATATATTTCTTATTAAAAATCACAATGTCACAGTTGTCTAATATCTACTCCATATAGTTTTCCCAAGTCATATTAAAAGTAATTTTGCAGTTTTTTTTAAAACCAGGATCCTGACTTACGGCCAAGATGGAGGCGTAGGTAGATACACTGTGCCTCCTCCAGCAACCAAAAGAAGGACAACAACAAATTTAAAAATAAAACACAACCAGAACTGCCAGAAAATCAAGCTGTATGGAAGTCTGAAAACCAAGAAGTTAAGGAAGAAACATTCATCCAGACTGGTAGGACGGGCAGATAGGCAGTTGGTGTGGAGAGGACTTGAGGCAAGGCGGCAGTTGGAGGACCTAGGCTGGACAGTGGCTGGCAGACCAAGCAGTTCCATATTTTCGTGTGGACAAACCAGGAGGAACAAGTGGGGAGCAAGACAGGCCAAGCAACCCAGGGTTCCAGCCCAGAGAAATAAAGCCTCAAAACCTCTGACTGGAAAAACGTATGGGTGTCGTGGCGGCAGGAGAAACTCCCAGCCTCAAAAAAGAGTTTGTTGGAGGAGCCCAGGGATCCTAGAAGATATATACACCAACCCTCCCGGAATCAGCACCAGAAGGGCTCAATTTGCCTGTGGGTGGCAGAAGAAGTGACTGAAAGCCAGCTGAAAGCTGAGCAAGCAGCACTGTTCCTTCTCAGACCTCTCCGCCACATACAGCGTCACAACGCAGCAAGGTGGGTTGCCCCACCCTGGCCAGTACCTAGGGCTCCACCCCTTACTATGTAACAAGCATGCCAAGACAAAAAAATGGCCTAAACGAAAGAACAGATCAGAGCTCCAGAAAAATACAACTAAGCGATGAAGAGATAGCCAGCCTATCAGATGCACAGTTCAAAGCACTGGTAATCAGGATGCTCACAGAAATGGTTGAGTATGGCTGCAAAATAGAGGAAAAAGTGAAGGCTATGAAAATTGAAATAAAGGAAAATGTACAGGGAACCAACAGTGATGGGAGGGAAACTGGGACTCAAATCAATGGTTTGGAGCAGAAGGAAGAAATAAGCATTCAACCAGAACAGAATGAAGAAATAAGAATTAAAAAAAAATGAGGGGAGGCTTAGGAACCTCCTGGACAACCTTAAATGTTCCAACATCCAAATCATAGGGGTGCCACAAGCAGAAGAAGGAGCAAGAAATTGAAAACGTATTTGAAAAAATAATGAAGGAGTTCCCTAATCTGGCAATGGAAAATAGACTTCCAGGAAGTCCAGGAAGCTCAGTCCCGAAGAAGTTGGACCCAAGGAAACATACACTAAGATATATCATAATTACATTACTTAAGATTAAAGCTAAGGAGAGGACCTTAAAAGCAACAAGAGAAAAGGAGACCTACAAAGGAGTTCCCATCAGACTGTCAGCAGATTTCTCCAAAGATACCTTGCAAGCAAGAAGGGGCTGGAAAGAAGTATTCAAAGTCATGAAATTATAGACTTACAGATTTGTTTTTTAAATTTAGTGATTTATAATCATTGTTTCTGATGTTCACATTGTCCCAGGTTTAGCCACTAGCAGCCTTCAAAAGAGTAACACTTTTGAAATGACCCTATCAGTCTTTGAGTATATCTTTCCTTTCTGGTATAATTACAAATACCAGGCCCACCTTATACTCCTCTGCCTCTGACTTGAGGTCAGACTTCATTCCTTTTAGTGGGGAATGGACCTAGAAATCAAGATCTGGGTGTGTGCTTACATCTAGACTCTTCAGTGGACAGAGCTAAGAAACGTATGATTTTAAATCACAGGTTTATTTAATTATTAGCAATTCAATTTAACAGGGAGCTTTGCTTCCTCACCTTGAATTTAGTATCTCTTCCCACTCAGAGTAAAAATCTTGTTTTTTAATTAACATGTTTACTTTTTCCTTTATTATACAACATATATAAAATAGTTTTAAAATTATTCAGTAAATTGCAAAGTAAAATAATCTACAAAAAAAGCGTAGTCAGAATACTATGTTGAAAGATAATCTGAAATAATGTTTTTCTGTATGGTTATACTATTATTATGGTAAATATTTTGGTTCATTTGTTTCTGTTTATATGTAATTTTAAGATTTAATCTTTCATTTTTTAAATTTACTTAAATTTTATTTATTTACCTCATTTTATTTTTGCTATATATAAGCATTTACATGATTCAGAAATCAAAACCATACAGTTGTCTTGCTTCCCTCTTTATTCTTCCAATTCCATTTCCACCTCTTTGTTTGTTGCCTTCATGATATTAAAAATTAAACTCACTTAGAGAAGTTTTATTTTTCTAAAAGAACAAGGTCTTATTCCCTTAATTGACATTAAAAATTTTTATATACTATTAAGTCACTGTTTCTATATTCAGAATTTCCCTAAAGTCAGTAGGTAGTTTCTGTAACATTTGGGAGAATATCACAATATAATATCTACATACTTGGTATGTAACTACTTCATGTACTGTAATCACAAAAAATAAGACATTACTCTTCCTCTCTTTAGTGTGTGTTTATTTAGGTACCCAACACTGGTATATATTAACAAAGTCTATATACTGTATTTTTTGAACTATAAGACACATTTCCCCCCCAAATTTGGGAGGAATAATGGTTGTTAATGCTGCTATTGAGTTCTGTTTACATTACATTGGTGAAATATTATGTTATTTATGTTTTATAATATTTTACCACATTTTTTGCTTCAAAAAATTTTTCCCCTATTTTTCTCTAAAACCTCGGTGCATCTTATGGTCTAAAAAATACAGTAATCTTTTTCTTCACAATATTGTACTCTCTATAGAGGAAATAAAAGAACAACCAACTAAGCCGTATATTAGATTGTAACCTTGACCTTCTGTTAATGTACTTTTCAAAGAGAAAAGTCACACTTACTCTCTGTCAAACAAGTGATAAATGTGGAACAGAATGTTAAATCTCCCCTCAAAAACAGCATATTTTTTTGACTTATGGATGGGTATGGGTGAATACATATGAGGTCTGTCCAGAAAAAGTCCAACTGTTGTTAATATGAGAATGGTTTTCATGGTATCTGTGTAACCTGGCAGCCAGGGAGAGTAGACTGGAATGTGCATGTATGACCAGTGACTTCACTGTACTAGTCAGTGGGGGCAATAGACCCTTTTGAGTGAGCATATGTACCTTGTGGCTGTTGCATTCAAAATGACTGAGCAAGTAGAGCAACGAATCTGCATCACATTTTGTGTTAAGCTTGAACATTCCTCTGCAGAAATTATTCAGATGATTCAGAAGGCTGCAGCTATGGGCAACTGGTGATTGGTAGCTTCACCAGAACAACGTGCCTGCTTATGCATCACACCTCATGCAGAGTTTTTTTGAGAAACATCAAATCACCCACATGACTCATCCTCTTAACAGCCCAGATTTGGCACCCTGTGACTTCTGGCTTTTCCCAAGACTAAAATCACCTTTGAAAGGGAAGAGATTTCAGACCATTGATGAGATTCAGGAAAATACAGTGGGGCAGCTGATGGTGATTGGGAGAACTGTGTGAGGTCTCAAGGTGTCTACTTTGAAGGGGCTTGAAGCATCATTGTCTTACATGTACTGTTTTTTGTTTCTTGTATCTTCTTCAATAAATGTCTTCGTTTTTTCATACCTACATGCCTGGAAAGCTTGGACAGACCTTGTATATCTCCAAAATTAAGGTATTGGTAGGGCTGTGCTCCCTACAAAGCTTTAGGGGAGAATCTTCTCTTGTACCTTCTTGCTTCTGGTCCTTGTGTTGAAGCTGTATAACTCCAGTTTCTGCCTCTCAATTCAGGTTCTGTCTCCTCTAGGTGTCTTTTCTAAGGACACATTATTGGATTTAGGGCCTATCTAAATAATTCAGGATGATCTCATCTTAACTCAATCACATGTATAAAGGCCCTTTTTTCAAGTAAGATTCCAGTGTTTAGAATATGAACATATTACTTGGGTACCTCCATTCAGCCCAACAATTAATGTACATGTGCACACACACAGATACTCAATTCTCATTCTTCATAGTTTGTTCTATAAAGTCACAGTGAACACTGACTTAGCAAATACTGAACCATTTCTCCTAGGGGAAATATATGTAGCCCATATAGATTATAACCTTAAATCCTAAAAACAACCCATCCTGGTAGTCTATTTATTATATAAAATGCAAAATGAGGTTCAGAGTGACTCTCCTGAGTCCACCTCACTAACAGGTCCCAGAGTTAGGATTCAAACCATGTTCAACTAGTCCCAGAGTTGGAGCTTCTTGTGCCACACTGCCCTTTTCCCTTCTTGTCTTCATCCTCTGGTCATACTAAAATAAGAAAGTAGAGTCTCATCATTTTGTTTGTCCTCAGCTGAGAATATACACACATAAAAGCAACTTGAACTTTTTGCTGCATGTGCATGTCTTCTAAAGACTGTGAAAGTGCTATAATAATTGATTTTGGGGAGCAAATAAATTTTAGTGAGTAGGTGAATTTTCAAATACAGGATCAGGAAATAATGAGGATTAGCTTTATATATAGGTACATATATACATACATATATTTAATATATTTTCTGTGTGATGTATCTTGTAGGATGATGGATGATGAAATATGAAAGATTGCATAATGTAGTGACCTCAGAGCATCTTACATCAGTGTTAAAAAAAATAGCATCCATTGAAGTAGGGAGTTTATTTCACCTCTTAGTTTAATAGCTGTGATACAAAGGAATGCAGCTCATTTGAAAAATTGTGAATAAATTTAATAGGAAAGTGATTCATTGAGAGTAGAATTTACTTATGTTATACTTTCTGTTGTAGGTAGATGTGAAAGTGGACCCCAAGGATTTGCGAATAGATACATTTCGGGCCAAAGGAGCAGGAGGCCAGCATGTTAATACAACTGATAGTGCTGTCAGACTTGTCCATGTCCCCACAGGTAAGCAAATCCCTTTGCTTTTGTACTTTTTAAAACTTTTATAACATAAAATAATTTAGCATTTAGAAGGAAAGAGTCCATGTTAGTGTCTCACGCAAACCCTTTAAAAGTGTCTGTTTGGAAAAGGCACCTCTCTAAAAGGAGGCAGGGAATGAGTGAACCTATTCAGAGAAGCTGCTACAGGAGTAAGCAGCCAGAGGCACCCCATCCTAAAAACAAACTTAAAAATAGTATTGAACATGCCACTGTGATGAATCTTTTATCATTTTATAGATTGACTGCTAGTTCCATTAGGCTCTGTTGCATGAACACTGTTACTTATTTTTATTTTTTTATTTTTAATGACTGAAACAAAAAAGATCTAAAACCACAGCTTCTGGAAGAACCATTTGTTCTTGCAAGTCTTGTACTTGTTTTTGAACTTGCCCTTGGCCTCCCATCAGGCCTTACTTTTCAGACAAGAACTCTGAAGATGTCCTTGTCGACAGCAGTTTTGTCCAAAGAGATATCCCCAAGAGGACTTTGTGGGCATGAGTTGATTGTAGTTATAAACTTTTACAAAACACTTGATCTTTGACCTCTTGGCAGTTTTCTTCTTGCCCATGGAGGCTGTTACTTTGTGGGGTTAGGTGGTCAATTCCAGCCACCAGAGCATGGCTGTAAGGCAGTCTGGTGCATTACTTATACATTAATTCTCCCAATGAGCCTATAAGGTAGCAACTATGATTACTCATTTTACTGATGAGAAAATGGAGATTAGATCACCCAGCCCAGGTCACAAGGCTTAGAAGAAGCAAACAGGCCAGATTTAGGCTGGCTCCTCATCACTATATTTAGTTAGTATAACCAGCTATACTAGGTTATACTGGAGATCATTCCTGGTACCTACCCTTGCTCCGGCAGCCATCTGAGTGTAGTGTCTCTCCTTCCTCCTCCTCCGCCTTTCTTCACCTCTTTTTCCTTCTCCCCATCTCTCTCACCTCAGTCGTCATCAATGTTCTTCATGATGACCCCTTTGTGTCCAGAGTAGCATCTGGCCAGGACCAGTACCACCTTCCCAGGTTTCATAAACTTGCCCATTTTGACAGCAGCTGAACACATTTAGATACTGGTTATTTTGGTCCACTGTGAGGTAGTTTTGCAGTCCTTAATGTGGTTTTCAATATTTCTACCATTTTCCAACTTTTTAAAAAATGCATTTTATTGATTATGCTCTTACAGTTGTCCCAATTTTTCCCTTCCCCCCTCCACCTGGTATCCCCATTCCCTCCAGCAATGCCACCCTTACTCATGTCCATGAATCATATATGTAAGTTCTTTGGCCACTCTATTACCTATACTGTTCTTAATTTCCCCCTGTCTGTTTTGTACCTACCAATTTGAGCTTAATCCCTGTACCTTTATCCCCATTGTTGCCCTTTCCCCTCCCAGCTGATAACCATCCAAATGATCTCCATATCCGTGATTCTGTTTCTGTTCTGCTTGTTTGCTTAGTTTGTCATTTGGATTCAGTTATTGATAGTTGTGAATTTATTGCCATTTTAATGTTCATCGTCTTGATCTTTTTTTCCTTATATAATTCCCTTTAGCAATTGGTATAATAATGGCTTGGTGATGATGAATTTCATTAGTTTTATCTCGTCTGGAAAGCACTTTATCTACCCTTCCATTCTAAATGAAAGCTTTGCTGGATAGAGTCATCTTGGATGTATAGGTCCTTGTTTTTCATCACTTTGAATATTTCTTGCCAGCCCCTTCTAGCCTACAAAGTTTCCTTTGAGAAACCAGCTGACAGTCTAATGGGAATTCCTTTGTAGATGACTTTCTGCTTTTCTCTTGCTCCTTTTAAGATTTTCTCTTAATCTTTAACCTTTGGCATTTTAATTATGATTGTCTTAGTGTGGTCCTCTCTGTGTTCATCTCTTTGGGACTCTCTGTGCTTCCTGGACTTCTTTCACCAAATTAGGGAAGTTTTCTTTTATTATTTTTTAAAAATGAGTTTTCAGTTTCTTGCTCTTCCTCTTCTCCTTCTGGCATCCCTATGATTTAGACATTGGAATGTTTAAAGATGGCATAGAGGTTCCTAAGCCTCTCCTCATTTTTTAAAAATTCTTTTTTCATCCTGCTGCTGATTGGATGCTTTTTCCTTCCTTGTGTTCCAAATCATTGATTTCATCTTCGGCTTGATACACTCCACTGTTGGTTCCCTGTAGATTTTTCTTTATTTCACTTAATACAGCCTTCATTTATGCCTGGGTCTTTTTTATACCATCAAAGTACCCAAGTGAGTTCCTAGAGCATCCTGATCACCAGTGTTTTGAACTCTGCATCTGATAGGTTGCTTATCTCCATTTCATTTAGTTCTCTTTTTGGAGTTTTGTTCTGTCCTTTCATTTGGGCCATATTTCTTTGTCACCTCAATTTGACAGCTTCCCTGTGTTTGTTTCTGTGCATTAGGTAGAGCTGCTTTGAATCTCTGTCTTAGTAGTGTGGCCTATTATAGAAAAGCACACCTTTTAAGTTGTATGGCGTGGAGCAAGCTGTGTTACAGCTCTGTTGTTTTGTGTTGGGGAAGGCTCACTGTGGGGAAAATACCTCTGCCTGGCCTCTGGAGTTTTGCCTGGGAGGAAGCTGTCTCCCTGTACTCACACTTCACTTTCTCCCCATATGCCACTAGTACCCTTCCAGCTATTGCCCTGGTGCTGAATCCCAGAGAGGGTGGGTCTGCGTGAGTCCTAATTCTGTTGTGTACCCTTTAAGAGGAGTCTTGTGAGAATTCCGCAGTTTCTTCTACTGCCCCAACCCCCACTTGCTTTTACAGCTAGAATTTATGGCAATTTATCTTCCTGGTGCTGGAACCCTGGGCTGGGTGGTCTGGACTAGGGCTGGGATCCTTTGCTCCCAAGGTATCCCTCCTATTTTTTATCTACCACACATGGATGTGGGACCGCTTGTTTCTGTCTGCATGCTAGTCTGTGTCTCTAAGACTTTCTGCACCTCTCTGCATCTCTCAGCGTATCCACCCCTCCTGCCTGTTGGATGAGTGTGGCTTCTTTAAATCCTTGGTTGTCGGACTTTTACACAGCTCGATTTTCTGACAATTTTGGGTGATATTTGTTTTGTAGTCTAGTTTTATTTTGTGTTATAGTTGTGTACGGAGGCAAAAAGTGTTTACCTATGTCTCCATCTTGACTGGAAGTCTCATTTCTCAGATTTTTTAACTTGCTTTAATCTTTTAAATCTCAGATTTTTTAACTTGCTTTAATCTTTAATCTTTTTTAAAATTCATTTCTACATTATATGTATATGGTTTTAAAAGTCCAATGGTGAAGTCCTATAACAAAAGACAGCAGCTCCCTGGACTTCTTCCTCCCCTCCTTTCTTTCCTTGACCCTAAAATTCTGTTACTCAGACACAACCACTTTAAGCTCTTTTAGCTATTTTTTCTGGTAATCATCTCAGTGTTTCTAAATAATAGTCAGATTTAATTAAGTAATTATAAGATTATATATTGACTAATATAATAGATGAGGATTTTGGCTCTCTCATAATAAATATCTTCCCCTTCCTAATATATTTGTATTTTGGCAAAATTAATCTTTAATGTTTTTATATAAAAAGTAGGTAGATAGTGTTCACTGCTGAGCCAAGTAATGTACTGTGATTTCAATTCCTAAAGTTAATAATTACCTCATTGTTTTTTTTATTTGCTTAGTTGTTATTTTCTTTTGACCCAAAGTCTTCCTATAACTTCCAAAAGCTGTATAAACTGAAGTTAACCCAGTTTTCTTCAGGGCTAATGCTTTTTTATAAAAAAAAAAAAAAAGATTTTATTTATTTGTTTTTAGAGAGAGGGGAAGGACAGGTGAAAAAGAGGGAGAGAAACATTGATTGGTTGCTTCCCATATGGACCCCTCACGGGGGACGAAACCCACAACCTAGGCATGTGCTTGACCAGGAATCAAACCTGCAACCCCTCCACTGTGAGGGATGACACCCAGCGAGGCCACACTGGTCAGGGCACAAGGCTAATGCCTTTTCTTGGATCCCATCTCATCTTTCTTGGTTTATTCCCCAATTTTAGAGAAACTCATATTTAAGTTGCTCCCTAAGAAAAGATGCATGAGATGTAAATATTTTGAGACTTTCAACCTCTGAATACTTTTATTCTCACACTTCATTGATCATGAACACTTGTTGAAAATCATTTTCACTTAGAACATGTAAGGCTTTTATAATTCATCGTATTTGTTACTTTCAGTTTGGAAACTCATGCTATTTTATTTTTTATTGGATTTATTGGGGTGACATTAGTTGATAAAATTATATAGGTTTCAGATGTACAACTCTGTAAGACATCATCTGTATATTGTATTGTGTATTCACCACCCCAAGACAAGTCTCCTTCCATCACCATCTGTCCCCCCTATGCCCTCCTCCACTTCCCCTTCAATCACCATACTGTTGTCTGTGTCTATGAGTTGGGTTTTTTTAATGCTTAGTCTCTTCACCCTTTTCACCCAGACACATAACCGCCCCTTCCCATCTGACAGCTGTCAGTGTATTCTATCTAGAGATCCATGCCCTTTAATTCTGGAAATTTTCTTCAAAATAAATTTTTTCTCACCATTTTTTATCCTCCCCAGAATTTTTATTACTCAGATGTTAGACCTCTAAAATTTATTGTTTGATTTTCTTTTTTCTTCATACATCATGTATCCCGTTGTTTTAATTTTTTTTAGACTTTTATTCTCTGAACTGTCTCTTTTTCATAGCACCTTTTTGTTATCTTGTTGATGCATTTTTCTTACTTTATTGCCCAAGTGTACAGGGTCTGGCACAAATAACACCCTTTTTTTTTTATTATAAAACCTTTTATTACAAAATCATGAGCATGTAATTCTGTAACATAACAATATCACACTCAAGCACACCATACCACATTTTAGGCGAAATGTTCAAATTAAAAGTATAAATTATTATACCCGTATTTTTACCCTACCAACCATACTCAAGTAAGCATTACTTCTGCCAGACTCTGTATTAATTTTAGTTTCCTTGAAGTTTTTTTCTGCTTACTGCAGTGTCTCCATTTCCTCTGAGTTTATTTTTCTTGTTTGTTTCAGTCTTACTTTCACTTTGGAAATGTCTAGGAATCCGTGGCTGCCTGTACACATTTAACAGTGAGGTTCTAAAAGCTTTGAGTGCATGTGTGCCACTTACCCACTAGTAAGTTTTACTGCAGGGCAGTTAAGTGATTAATCAGATTTTTTAAAATTAGGAACCCCCAAATGCCAGTGTTTGTAGATCTTTTTCTTTTGTATAGTTTCTCCTGAGAATGATCATCCAGGGTATAACAGAATAAGGACAAGATTTCACTATTCAATAACAAACTTTTACTAATCTTGTTTTCAGTGCCATGCTTCTTATTTGCCCTTCTTTGTATCTAGTCTCAAATCTAGAACGTTCCTTATTTAATTCTCTAAAGACTACCTCCTGCCTCCTACAGATTGAGAGAGGAGACTTGAATTTCTATTTTAAGACTGTTTTTAGTCCCCAAATCCTTAACTCCAACTTCTGAACTAACTTGATGCCTCAATTCCTAAACCTTTCTGACACTCAGCAGGGCAAATAGTTTCGTTTCTGATCATCTCCGTCAACAGGGAGCTAAGTTTGACCTTGCTCCTCTCTACTAAGCCATTGACTGTTCTTCCATTTGCTTTTTCTCTGTATATACTGTGTTTGGAGAGGCAGCCGATCACTGTTATCTCTTTCTCCTTCTCTTCCCTTCTCTCTGAAAATAACTAAATCTTAAAAGAGTTAAGACAGAAATATGCAAATTAATGGATATTTGTGTTTTATTTTGTGAGATACTGTTCTGTATTATAAGCAGTCTGAAACAGTAATAATTAGCTTAAGATTAATTAAAATAAGAAAAAGTAGGGTAAAAGGTGATTAAAATTCTGATGAAATGAGCCAGAATACTTTAAAACATATTAAAGGATTATAAGACCATCCTGGGAAGCCATAAATTATTTAATTTACAAAAAGTGTCTGTTGTTTGTTTGCCAAACTTAACCTTGGGCCAAATTATTTTTTAGCCACTTAGACCTGGTTCTTTGATGTAAAACAGGCCTCAAGGCTTAACCCTCAAACCTTTCCTAGACAAGGCATATCAAGGCCTATTAACTCTTATGAATCCATATAGTTATGAGCAAGTGACTTACGAGTCGTTGACTTCCTACTTTAAAGTTTGATATGATTTCAACACCTACTACAAGGAAAACAGCCTTTCTGCTATTTCTTTCATTCCCAAGACCCTTAGAGTGGAAAGTATATTCCTGAAGAACTGTGGGTCATTCTTCCATTTTCTCCATGCACGTGGACTCTGAAGAATCACATTTTTTCTAACCTACTGCTTCTATGTAACTCCATTTTTATTTAACCTTTGATTATATATAACATATCATCTAAGAACCCATCAATTGAAAAACAAATGACTTTTATTCCTATGAAGAAATATAAAAAATACAGTTAATTAAACTATGCCAGTGATTGTAAGGTGCAATTCAAAGAGGTTAAAAATTTTTATATGGTATTTTTCTCACTTGTAATTGAAAATCTTTTAAATACTATATGTAGTTACACAGCAGATACCATTTGGTACTATTACTACCTCCAGTTTTGGAATCTCCTGTAGAGTACTGAAACAACACTGAGAAAACTTATTTTTTCCAAAAGCCCTTTTATGGTTTTTTAACAAGCTCAGCACCTTATTTTAACTGGTCCTCTATTATTTAGCACAGCTCTTCACCCCCCCAAATCCTCTATTTTTGAGGGAGTACTTATGATTAAATACTCCCATATAGGAAGGTACTGATAAGATAGGATAACAAGATTCTTTTAGGAATTACTGAGCTGCTGAGTGAGAGTGTTATGCTATATGAGTTCATAGTGCAGGAGTCTAAGCAAAAATCAGTACAGGTCCCCTGACAAGGAGATAAATTTCAAAGAAATCTTATGACTGTCTAGCTATCTTGAAATGGAAATTTTCATATTCTTTTAGGCGGTAAAAAGATACCAGATTTAAGACAGTTCCAGGTAAATGCCTGGAAGATGGAAGCCAGTTAGTACTCCAGCTCAAACACATGACTGCAGTAAAGCTGTCAAGAGATATGTTTAACCCTGGCAGGATGGCTCCGTTAGTTGGAGCACAGTCTTGTACACCAAAACCTGGGGTCCTTAAAGGGTTAGTTAGTTGGTGTAGATTGTAGCTTATTTAGACAGGGTGAAAACATAGTGTCACCAACCTTTGTGGATCAGGGACCCAGAATCAAGGTCCTTCCATCCAGTGTCTCTCATGCCAATAAAACAATACAGAGTTCAGTAAAGCAGAACAGAAACTTTATTCTTTGATCAGGGAATGGAGGAGGTGAGTTTGCACTCAGAAAGCACCTTCTCACCCTAGTGAAATAATTGGGTAACTTTAAAGGATCAGGGAAAGACTAAGAAACATATCAAGAACCTAGAGAATCAGATTTCTTCAAGGAGGTACACATTCCATAGGAAAGGGAGCATATGTGCAGTTACCCCTTCCTTCTGCACACCACCCAGAATATGCCCAGCAGAGCTTTCCTCCCACCTCCATTGTGATTTTAATATGTCAGTTAGTCATAGATCATCTGAAGTTCACTTATCTTTCATCATGATGGTATTTTCCAGCTTAAACAATTTTAGTTGTGGTTCTTGAGTTTCTTATCTGGTTCCTACCTACAACCTTGGCTCACTCTATTAAACCCATGACTTTATAGTCAATATTTGACAGGAGGCAAAAACATACAATGGGCTAAAGACAGTTTATTCAATAAATGGTGCTGGGAAAATTGGACAGATTCATGCAAAAAAATGAAATTAGACCACCTTCTTATGCTACACATAAGAATAAATTCAAAATTCATTTTGAATTTAAATATTAAATTCAAAGACTTAACTATTAAACTCAAAACCATAAAAATTCTAGAAGAAAATATAGGCAGTAAAATCTCAGACATTGCTTGTAGCAATATTTTTTCTGATATATCTCCTCAGGCAAGGGAAACAAGGAATTACATCAAACTAAAGTTTTTCACTACAAAGGAAATGAGCAACAAAATGAAAAGACAACCCACTGAACAGGAGAACATATTCTCTAATGATACATCTGATAAGGAGTTAATATCCAAAATGTATAAAGAACTCATAAAACTCAATGCCAAAAAAAATAGTCTGCCCTTTCTTGATTTCAGCCTGCTTTTTGTCGGGATTATGTTAGAAAATTAAGGGAAAACAAGAAGAGAAAGTCATTAGGAATTTCGGGGTTGAGAATTCAGGTGGCACAATCCCTTGGCAGTAGTTTGGACAATAGAATTTTATAGACATTTTTAAATCTGTAGCAAAATAGTTACTGCACTATCAGTGCAGTGGACCCTCTGATGTACCTGGGAGAAGGATTGCACACAGACCTTCCAACGGGTAGCTGCGAAGTTTAAAACAGCAGCCTAAAGTTTCAAGGTGTCACTGTTCCAGGGCTAGATTTGGGCTACTTACTAGGCTCCACAATGGGCTGAACTCACCCAAATTCAGAAGTTGGCTACATGAAGCATGATTAGATGTGTTGATTAGCTGGATTTAGAACCAAGACAACTGAGAAATATTGACTATAAACTCTTCCTTTGAAAGAATTTGAGCAGTTTCTTTTCAATGGTTTCTATACTTAAAGTCATTTTTAAAACATAGCTTCGTGTGTATTTGTGATTTAAAGTGGAAAAGCGGTCTACTCAGGACAGAGAATGGAATACTACATAATGCGTGACAGTATTTTGCTCTTTGTTGAGCTACAAAAGTAGTATCTGGATGAGCTGGGCTGGAGAGGCAGAGTTCTGAGAATGAAAGTATGTGTAACTACCATCAGATGCTACTGCTTTCAGTCTTCTCATGTAACATATCTCATTTAGATATCAGAATCTAAATGGCTATCTACTGCTATTACCATGGTAACCCAGGTGTGGTTTCTGAAGCATGCTAAATCCAAAATGTATTTAATCCTTTGTTATCTTTTCCTGATTAACCTTTCCCCCTTTAAAATATTCTTCAAGTCTGTCTTTTTTTTTCTAGTTTTATTGAAGTATAACTGACACCTCACTTCTACCTTAATTTGGCTTGTGAAGGCTACAGTTTACCTCTGATCTCTGTTATTTTTTAGGGCTTGTAGTAGAATGCCAACAAGAACGATCACAGATAAAAAATAAAGAAATAGCTCTGCGTGTGTTGAGAGCCAGACTCTACCAGCAGATTATTGAAAAAGACAAATGTCAACAACAAAGTGCTAGAAAACTGCAGGTAAGATTTATTTAGTATGATAATTTAACCTCTGTACCAAAAGTTGTGTTATATAGAAAATGTAGTATTTGTTTTTTATTTAATGGACTTATAATAGAGCATAAGGAAATATGCTTCTTTGTAAATGAGCAATATTTTAAATGCATTTGGACTGACAGATTATGACTAAAATTGGACATGCAAGCTTGTGAATGAGTAGATGGCATATGCATAAATTAAAAATTATTTCCCAGTTGTTTCTCTCCAGCGTTTATATGATAGCTGTCTTGAGAGGAAATTAGTATAAAAAATCAAGTAATTTTCTGGAAATTAAGAGATTTTTTAAAATCTAAAAAACCTATGCTTCATAACTGTGAGATCAAAAATGACATTGCAAAAAACTGGTAACAGTGATTGCTACGGATGGAGTCTAGGGCAAGGGGTAGAAGATTTATTTTTCATTATATACCATTTTGTACTTTTTAAATTTTGTACTGTATACAAGAACAGTATTATTTATTCAAATATGTAAATAGGTTGTAAGCACAATGAATAGATGTCATTGTTTTAGGTAAACAAAGTGTTTTATGATTTTAAATCCTAAAAAACATCATTTGTATTTGAGACACATTAGAAGAGAAAGTGAAACCTAGAAATAACTGTGCTTTTGGGTTATTTGGAGATTGGTATGCAACAGTAAATTTGGAAGATTTTGTGGCTTTATGGGATAATCAATTCCATAAAACTAAAGATTCTTTTTGCTTAGATGTCCTAGTCTTTTTATACTTTATTCCTTCTGGTTTCCCTTACCCACATTCTAATCTGCAAGTAGTTAAAAGCAACAGGATAAATAATATGTTACTCTTCTATTAGTGGTAATTCTGGATTGTAGCACAGCATCAGTGTATACATTTACAGATAAGAAAGGTCATTTATGAACCATTACTTCTTGACAAATTATCAGTAATATAAACATTGTGAAATCTGCCACATTTGATTTAATAAAAGACATTGGATTTACTTGCCATTTGCTGTTTCAGCACTAGAAGTTTCACATACTAATTTTTTAAAGATAGATTATTTATTTATTTATTTATTTATTTATTTTTAGAGGGAAGGGAAGGGAAGGGAGGGAGAAACAGAGGAAGACATCAATGTGAAAGACAAACATCGATCAGTTGCCTCTCATCACGTGCCATCTGGGTATCAAACCCACAACCCAGGCATGTGCCCTGACTGAAAATCGAATCAGTGACCTTTCACTTTGTGGGCCAACATGCAACCAACTGAACCACACCAGCCAGGGCTCACATATTAATTTTTAAAATAAGTACTTAAGATTGGCCTTATAAGAATTGTATATGTATATCAACTTTAGTTGTCTGGTTTGAAAGGCCAGAAAAGACCTCCATGCTTCCCAATTAACCTGTCCATCTGTTTGAAATTTCTTAGTCGGTATTTCTAATGCTTGGAAATTTTTCTTCAGTTAATATACACAGTAGCTTTTATATGGAAGGCATTATGCCAGGTTCTCAACCCTGGCTCCACTTATTACCTGAAGAGCTTTGTAGATGTCTAGGCCCCACCCTCAGAGATTCTGATATAATTGCTGTAGGTGGGGCCCTGGGCATTGATACCATGCTTTGGGATAGCAGTTTCCAAACCTGCTGGTTCCAGAATGGATGGCCTAAGGAATGTTTTTAAAATGCACAAATCGGTGCCTTGGCTGGTGTGGCTCAGTTGATTGGAATGTTGTCCCATACACGGAAAGGTCATGGGTTTGATTCCCTGTCAGGGTACATGCCCGAGTTGTGAATTCAATCCTTGGTCGGGAGCCTGTGAGAGGAAACCAATTGATGTTTCTCTCTTACATCGATGTTTCTGTCTCTCTCCTCCACCCCCTTTTTCTGAAAAAGGCAATGAAAAAAGTGTACTCCGGTGAAGATTTTTTTAAAATTTACATAAATAAGATACACAATTCCTGATTCAATATACCTGAGCTTGGGCTATGGAATCTTTAATTCTATAAAACTCTCCTGATGATCAGCCATATTTAAGAGTTTAGTTTCATATTATTTACTTTAGAAAATAAGCTATAGAAATGTCTCTTTTTATCTTAAAAGGTGAAAGGAAGTGAGAGGGTATTGTGTGTATCACATGTTGAGGTAAGAAGAATATAAATAATCATAGCATAAAGTAGACTTTGGTGTGCCATGAAGATTCCAAAGTGTGGAGTTTCAAAGGAGGCAAATAACATATTTCAATTTTGGGGACCGTGAGTGGCAAAGATGGTGGGAGAGTGGTAGGGAAGGGCACCCCTTGAGATGATTTAGCAAAGTTCACAGACACACATAATAATAATAATAATAATAATAATAATAATGTATAATAAATAGCATTAAAGAGGTACATATCATTTTCAGAAATCATTGGGAAAGTTGGCCACATTATGAAGTGCCTTGAAGTCTAAGGTGAGTTGTGTCTGCTTAGTAGATAAAGAACCAAAGAAGAGAATTGATCAGAAAACTGCTTGAGGAAGACTAAGCAGGGCAACACAATGTAAGCAGAGAAATGGAAGATTAACCAGGAGATTTTGTAAGAAGTAAAGAGCCCTGGCTGGTGTGGCTCAGTGGATTGAGCACCAGCCTGTGAACCCAAGGGTGGCTAGGGATTCGATTCCCAGTCAGGGTATGTGCCTGGGTTGTGGACCAGGTCCCCAGTAGGGGGCGCCCAAAAGACAACACACATTGGTATTTCTTTCTCTTTGTCCCTCTCCTCCCTGTAAATAAATAAATAAGTAAATAAATAAGAGAAAATCTTTTAAAAATACTTAAAAAAAAAGATGTAATAAGAGATTCTTAAAACCTATGGAAATGGGCAGGTAGAGAATGGGATTAGTTTAAGGTGATTTTCAGTGTCTGTATCAAAGCCTGGCAGAATAGTAAGGTCTCATGAAATGTTTGCTAAATTGCAGGATGTCATTTTCTACTTGGATCAAAGGGAACATTGTGGTGTCATTTATAGAAACTAAGGAAGAACCAATTGGAGTAGAAAGATAATTGGTTTTATATCATTGGAGTTTGAACTATCAAAGAGACATAAATTCTTATTCCATAACTAAGCTTTAAAACTTAAGTTCTGTCTATTCTTGTTCTTTGCTACTTTGTATATATAACTTTAGAAAATATTTAAACTGTCAAAATACAAAAGTAATTTATAAGTACTTTTTTCATTGTAAAAAGCTAATTATAAAGTTAAAATGTGAATTGCTTTTCATTATGGCACAGGTGGGAACAAGAGCCCAGTCAGAGAGAATTCGGACGTATAATTTCACCCAGGATAGAGTCACTGACCACAGGATAGCATATGAAGTTCGTGATATTAAGGTAATATCACTGAGTATGCTTTATGTAACTTAACTTTCAACTTTTGAAGAAAGTATAGTCAAATTCTAGAGTAATATCTAAAAACTCAGCAAATAATTTAAAGTCATTAAGCCAGTTAGTACCATAAAATTTGCAAACATTTTTATTACTTTGCTGGTAAGAAACATGGTCTTTATGTCCGTTTGAAACAGCTATCTTGTAAATTCTAATTTCTTGGTTGTGCAGTGACAATATATTAACATATTTTAAATATAGCCATATGCTACTTTACAGGGATGTATTCTGACAAATGCATCAATATGCAATTTCATCATTGTGAAAACATCATAGGGAGCACTTACACAAACCTAGATGGTATAGCCTGCTACACACCTGGTTATATGGTGTAGCTTATTGCTTCTGGGCTATAAGCCTGTTCAACGTGTTACTGTACAAAACAACATGAGATTAAATCAAACACAAAAGAAAGTGCTGCAATCAAGAGACATGGTAAACACCAGATGAATGACACTGCTGCCAGAGTAACAGGGCCTACTGCTTTACAACAAACATTTTTTTAATAAGTGGAAAAAGTACATTCTAAAATAATAAAAAATATGGTATAGGAAATAGATAAACCAGTAAAATAGCTTATTATTATCCAGCTTTATGTACTGCACAAAATTGTATATGCTATTGTTATAAGATGGGCAGTACAGTAGGTTTGTCGGTTTGTTTAAAGGAGCATCACCTCAAATGTAATTCTTTTTTTTTTTTTATTGAATTTATTGGGGTCGCTGGTTAACAGAATTATACAGCTTTCAGGTACATAATTCTACAGCATGTCATCTGTACACTGTATTGTGTGTTCACCACACCAAGTGAAGTTTCATCATCATTCGTCCCCACGATACTCTCCTCTACCTCCCCCACTCCCCTCTCACTGGCAGTCATCATATTGTTGACTGTGTCCATGAGTTTTTTCTTTTTTGCTCAGTCCCTGCACTGCCCCCTAGCACCCCACCCCACATAGCTGTCAGCCTACTCTCTCTGAGTCTGTCTTTGTTTCTTATTAGTTTATTTTGTTCCCTCATGAGTGAAATCACATGGTACTCATCTTTCTATCGCTGCCTTATTCAACATGAGTAATTCATTGTGCTCTGACCTTACAAGGACTACAATGTTACAATTTCAATGATAAGGAATTTTCAGCTACTTTATCATCTTATAGGGCCACTGTTGAATATGTGATTCTCTATTGACTAAAAGGATGCCATGCAGCACTTGACTGTATGTGTGTGTGTGTGTGTGTGTGTGTGTGTGTGTGTGTGTGAGTTTTCTACTGCTGCATAACAAACTACCACAAATTTAGTGGCTTATATTGATACCCATTTATTTTCTTATTGTTAGTGTAGTTCAGAAATCTGGGCACAACACAGCTGAGTTCACTGCTCTACATCTGACAAGGCTGAAATCAAATTGTTGGCCAGGCTGCATGCCTTTCTAGAGCTTCAAGCCCTCTTGCAAACTCATGTGCTTGTTTGCAGAATTCCATTTCCTTAAGCTATAGGACAGAGATCCCCATTTTCTTCCTGGCCATCAGCTGGGCAGTACTGCTGTCAGCTCTTAAAGACCCATGCAGTTGCTAGCAACATGGCCCGGGACTTTTTAAAGGCTCATGTGTTTAGGTTAGACCCACCTGGATAATATTCCTCTTTAACTTAAAGTCAGCTTTAGTCACTGGAGTGATATTCCACCATATTCACAATTTCTGCCTGCCCTTAAGGGAGGGAGTTATACAAGGTATGTGCACTAGGGGGCATCTTACATTTCTGGGTACTACAATGTGTATTCATTAGATTGAGGTGTTAACAGTTGTACATATGAGGAAAAGACCGTGTCATTTTGGTTTGAGTGTTAACCTAACTAAATCCCATCTAGCCAGGACCACTGACATTCATACGTTAATGATGAAGCACAGAAAAATTTCCCTTTTCCTCCCACTGATCAGGGAAGTGAACTAGTTCCCATATAGGACTATATGGAAAAAACAGGAGACAGAAGATTTTCATCCTTTTTCTGGGTGCCATGTGATACCTATAACTTCTTTCACTTGATTCTGTTTCATTTTGTACTCAAAGTCCTAATTTTACAAAGGAAATGTCTACATTTTTAATATTTAGAAATTTCTATATGTCTTACACCATTTCCTCTGTTTTCTCAGCAATTTAAGGCTGTCTTGCATAGGAACATAATTGCCTTGTTGAAAAGAAGAAAATATTTGCTAACTTCCCTTTGCTCAGGAAACACAGTAAAAACCAAACACATTTGGTCACATTGTTCTAATTACACCATGATCTTTCAGTTATTTTCCTAGTAGTGGTGATGATTTTCTATGAGACAGTGATATTTTTTTAGAAGAGCAAATAGGTGCTCGGTATAATATTCAGTTATAAAACAGTCAGTTATAAAATATCTGACTTTGGCTGAAATAGAAATGTATTACTACTAACCAAATAAGAATGTCAGACTCAGAAATGATAAGGAAAATCATATTGGTATGCTCTAATAATCACTAACCAACTTACTGGAAAAAAGAAAATGTTCCATATTAGTGAAAGAAACACGTTTGAAAGTAGCATTAGAGATGTTGTAGTGTCTTGACTGGTGAGGCTTGGTTGAGCATTGCCCCCAAAGCAAAAGGTCTCTGGTTCAGTTCCTGATCAAGGCACATGCCTGGGCTATAATCCTGGTTCCCAGTTTGGGCGTATGGGAGACACAGCAGCACAATGTTTTTCTCCCTTTCTTTCTCCATCCCTTCCCTTCTCTCTAAAAATAAATAGTAAATAAAATCTTTTTTAAAAATGTTGTAGTAAAACATTAAAATCTGCATGCAGGGCAGTAAAAACACTAGTGTAGGAATTGAATAATAGTTAAGTAACTGAATAGTTGTAAAAAAAGTTAAGAAAGCCCTGGCTAGTGTGGCTCAGTGGATTGAGCACAGGACTAAGAACCAAAAGGCCACTGGTTCAATTCTAAGCCATGGCACATGCCTGGGTTACAGGCCAGGTCCCCAGTTGGGGGTGTGAGAGAGGCAAGTGATTAATGTCTCTCTCACACATTGCTGTTTCTCTTCCTCTCTTTCTTCATCCATTCCCTTTCTAAAAAAGTAAATAAAATCTGAGACTTCCACCAAGATGAAGGCGTAGGTGAAAACATTGTGCCTCCTCGCACAACCAAGTTTAAAAACAAGGTTTTCGTAACAAAAACGCAGCCAAAACACAGAAAATTGAACTCTACGGAAGTCCGACAACAACGAACCATTCAGCCAGACCAGTAAGAGAGGCGGAGCCAGCAGCAGAGTAGGATCCGGCAGGAAAGATCCACCAGACCGACCCAGGCATGCAGGCAGCTGTTGGCGGATCCCAGGTGTGGGGTAGCAACTGGTGGACCCTGTGAGGGTGCAAGGCTGCAGGCCAACCACGGTCACACATTCTTGCGCAGTTAAACCAGCAAAGGAGCGAGCAGTGAGACAGACCACACAGGCTCCAGTGGCAAGAAGCAGCAGGGGGGACCGCCACTGCCCCTCTCTGACTCCACCCTCACATACAGCGTCACAAACCAGCAACCTGGGTGGCCACGCCCTGGTGAACATCTAAGGCTCCTCTCATACATAATGGGCTCAAACAGACCAAAACATGGCTCAAGAAGAACTCAAAGCCCCAGAGCCCCTAACTCTAAGCGAATAAGAAATAGCAAAACTTTCAGATGCACAGTTCAAAACATTGGTGATCAGGATGCTCACAGAACTGGTTGATTTTAGTCACAAATTAGAGAAACAAATGAAGGCTAAACTAATTGAAATGAAGGGAAATGCACAGAAAACCAATAGTGATGGAAAGGAAACTGGGACTCAAATCAATGGAGTGGACCAGAGGAAGAAAAAAATGACCAAACCGAAAAATATGAAGAAATAAGAATTCAAAAAAGTGAGGGGAGGCTTAGGAGCCTCCAGGACATCTTAAATTGCTCCAACATCCAAATTATAGGAGTACCAGAAGGGGAAGAGGAACAGCCACAAGTGGAAAACTTATTTGAACAAATAATAAAAGAGAATTTCCCCAGTCTGGCAAAGGAAATAGACTTCCAGGAAATCCAGGAGGCTCAGAGAGTCCCAAAGAAGTTGGACCCAAGAAGGAACACATCAAGGCACATCATCATTACATTAGCCAAGATTAAAATGAAGGAGAGAATCCTAGAAGCAGCAAGAGATAAGGGGACAGTCACCTACACAGGAGTTCCCATCAGACTGTCAGCGGATTTCTCAAAAGAAACCTTACAGGCAAGAAGGGGCTGGAAAGAAGTATGCCAAGTCATGAAAACCAAAGACCTACATCCAAGATTGATCTATCCAGCAAAGCTTTCATTTGGAATGGAAGGGCAGATAAAGTGCTTCTCAGATAAGGTCAAATTCAAGGAGTTATCATCACCAAGCCCTTATTATATGAAATGTTAAAGGGACTTACCTAAGAAAAAGAAGATAAAAAAGATGAACAGTGAAAGGACAGCAAACTCACAGTTATTAACAACCACACCTAAAACAAAAGCAAACTAAGAGGACGGCTAGATCAGGAGCAGAACCATAGAAATGAAGATCACACGGAGGGTTAGCAACAGGGGTGTGGGAGAAGGAGAAGGGGAGAGAAGGTACAGAAAATAACTAGCATGGACAGTAGGTAGAAAATAGATGGGGGAGGGCAAGAATAGTATGGGAAATACAGAATCTAAAGAACTTGAGACACATGGTCATAAACTAAAGGGGGGGAATGGTGGGGAGGGTGTGCAGGGTGGAGGGGAATGAAGGGAGGAAATAGAAAACTGTAATGGCATAATCAATAAAAATAATTAAAAAATAAAAGCAAAAAAAGGTAAATAAAATCTTTAAAACTAAAAAAAATTAAAATCTCCTTTAGAAAAAGAAAAGGCAAAAAGAAGTTGCCTTAACCCCAGGGAAACTTCTGTAAGAATGGAAAGAGGAAATAAACTGGATGTCTGAGGGGCTCTGCATCTCTCATTATTCTAGACGCTGACCTTCTCTCTACTCCTCCCACAGATCTTGATGGAACTCTTCTGTTCTTATGTGAGCATGCTCCTGACCCAGGGCAATAACCCAATTTGTTTGGGAGGATTTCCAGACAAGCCCCAACCAATGAGTTCCTTCATGGTTTTTTTTTTTTTTTTTTTTTTTTTTTTTTATTTATTTTTAGAGGGGAAGGGAAGGAGAGAGGGAGAGAAATATCAAGGCATGGTTGCCTCTTGTGGATCCCCTGCTGGGAACTGGCCTGCAACCCAGGCATGTGCCCTTACTAGGAATTGAACATCGATCCTTTGGTTTTCGGGCCCCTGCTCAATCCACTGAGCTATACCCACCAGGGCCCTTCCTGGGTTTTTTAAACTGAAAACATAGAGGATCATCCTCTCCCTTGATGGCTAAAGCTGAAATACATAAAAGTTTACAAGAGTTTAGAAGCTACCTTTCCAGTCATGGGGAGAGAGGAATCTGCAGCAAGAGAAGAATGGAGCTGATATATTGCAAGGAGCAAAAATGAAAACTGAATGAAACATATCCTGGTAATATGAATCCTCATATTTATTTATTTCCGAGACCCAGCTTCATTGCCAAGGTGATGACAACAGCCCTGTACATTCTTATCCTTGGAGTCTGTAAGGTCACCCTGAATTCTTACAAATTCTGTTGAGGGTATTGTTATTTTTATTTATCTAGATAATAAGCACAGACTACCATGTAATATATAGTTTTGTATTTTTATTGTTTTCTCAAAGTTCTTGTGCAGATTTCTTAGCATCGGCCTATCTCCTGCCCTGTATTCCATTTACATTGGAAATTTCCCCTTGCCCTAGGCTTTAAATGTACAGGTGACCTCTCACAATGCAGGGGTTGGAGGGCTCACTCCTCCCACCCTGTGCAGTTGAAAATCCATGTTGGGTTTTTGATAGACTCCCCCAAAAGAACAGTAACAGCCTACTGTTGACCAGAAGCCTCACTGATAACATATGATGCATCAATTAAGTAACATATAATTAATTAGAGTAACACATAATACATCACATGCATTGTATACCATGTTCTTAAAATAATGTAAGCTAGAGTGTGGGGGCGACTTCCCTCGCAAGTCCCCCCAGTGCCACAGATGAAGAGTGAATATGACTGAGATATGACGTGATCTGCATGGGGAGGAAAAGTGAGCAGTGGCCAGTTTCACAGGGGAAAAAGGCCAGCAGCGGCCAGTTTCTCTGAGGAGAAAAAAGCCTCGAGCACCCTCTTCCAGGGCCTTTTATTGGGTTGTAATACACAGGAATACAGGGCGGCAAGGATCAAACGGTAGATAACATATGAAAGAAATCTGAGGGCTTACTATGAGTCAGTCTGTCTGGAACAGAGTTTTAGGGTTTCTTGCTCGAACTCTTAATATATGAATGAAAGCACTCTTAGCAGAGCAGATTTCACAGGTTTATCAGGAAGTCTTTGTGATGCCAGGTTTTTCCCCAGGACACACTCTAGCAAGGCAAGGAGCTACACCTCTCTACAACAGGTATTCAGGCTTAAGGGGATTAGAGCCAGGAAGCACTTCTCCCAGAGGACTTAGGGACTCAGGCTATATCAAAGCGGGGTGGGGGGGGGGTCTATTGCTCTTTGTTGCAGCCTCCCTCCCCCCCTCCAGTCCTTCCATAAAGGCCTCCCAAGTGATGGAGTCTGGCTTAGGTTGCCCACTGCTGTGAGGGGTCTTATCCATCATTGACTTCCGACCAAGCTTTGGGGGAAGGGAGAGGAAACTGAGGCAGCGTTTGCTATCAGAGACAAGCTTTGTCTCCTTCTGCTCGCATTTCAAAGGTCGTCCCTTGCCCTTAGCCACAAGGGGTCGAGATACATATAACCATGGCAGAGTGTTCTACAACACTAGAGAAAAGTGCTATTAAGAAAAGCGTAAGGTTCATCTGTGAGGTTCTTTTTTCAAATTGTAGCAAATATCAAAAAAGTTTGCCAATATATTTATTGAAAAAAAATCTGTGTATTAGTTGATTCATGCAGTTTTAACACATGTAGTTCAAGACTCAGCTGTACTTTGTTTCCAGTTTGAAAAACCGGAAAAAGAATGAGTATGTACTTTCTTCATACTTGTTTTTCCTATCTCTATTGGAGAAATACTATTCACTTTTTAAGATCTAATTCAAATTTGTTTCTGTCCTGAACTCTTTCCTGATGTCACCTTCTTTTCAAAATTGATGGCTCCCTTAAAACCCTTTATTTTTAAACTTCTTGCATTTCTAGCTCCCCCACTAAATTATGAGCTCTTAAAAAGTAGGATCTATAACTCCTTCATTTTTTATCTTTTGCACTCAAGTTAATCCTATTGAACTGTGGATGTGATTATTAATAAGAATAATCAGTTGCATAATTTCCAAATAATGATGTCACCCTGGCAATACTATAATAATATGAGCTTCAGGAACACTAATTTTATAGAAAATTTTCATATTATGCTCAAAATGATAATCTTAAAAATTTCATTTTAGTGCTTTTACTTTGTTTTAAGTTTAAGTAAAACTTTAGGTTTTACTATATACTTGTGTTTTGTGGAATACAAAGATAGTAAGGCATATCTTCTCCCCTATAGTTTAACTTGAGAGATAAGTGTGTGTGCTTAACCTAAAATTCAACTTTTAAGACCCTTTAAGAAAGACTAAATATAAGATTAATTCATGCCAACATCAAAACTTTAAATGTTATATATTGTAGATGCCGATGTTAGAATATTTCCATTAAGCCATTGTCTAAATTTTGAGCATTTCTAAAATATGAGAATTTTCTAATTTACTAATCCCAACACCTTTATTCCACCAAACTTCTATAACACAGGAAAGGAAGTCATCATTTTAGTCATTTCTCATGAAGGAACTTTATGGAGGACTATAGGGAAGTCTAACTGAAACAGTTTTCATTCAGTGGAACTATTTGGAGAGTAATAAAAGAGAAAAAAATCGTCAGAAGTTTTTATTTTGAATTTTTGAAGTACATGTGTAAAGACAAGTTCAATATGCACCCTATGTCTAGATTCAAGAGTTAACATTTTGCTGCTTGCCTTCTCTTCCTCTTCCACCTCTCTTTCTCTCCATATATACACCTGTGTTGCTATTGAATCATTTGAAAGCAGGTTGTAGACCTCAAGACCCTTGTCCCTTAAATATTTCAGCATATTTTTCGTTATACAGGACTTTTAGATTTTAATACTGTATTTCTAATTTAAGGGAAAAAATTATCATAAACCACTTATGGATTAAGTAATTTAAATTTGGGGGGTTGGAATAAGAAGTGTGATCTGGAATGTTCTGGGGAGGTTTAGCTAAGCCAGGTCCCCATTATTTGGTAAGGCAGAGAATGTCAAGGAGTGGTCTGCCCATTCGCCTGAAATTTCAATCTTTTTTCCCTTGTGAAGTAATGTGATATTAATGAAAAGGGTTGAATTTTCAGGACAAGAATAAAAGGCCTTACTTTTTTTTAGGGTACAAGAGGAGAAAAGGATTCTGCAAAGCCTTCCTCTTAAAGATGGTTTGAGAAGTTAGAACTGTGTTGTCAGAAGAATCAAGCAGTGAGGAATTTTAAAGAGAGGGAGGTGATAAATTTCAGAAGTTGATTCAGATCTCTGTTTTGTTGTCTCCTGAGTTATTGGAAAAATCCAAATCCTACAAGATTGATTTTTATACAAATGCTAATTTAAACAATTTAAGATAGACTATAATTCCATTTACTATTTGGGATTCACTTTACATAAAGAGCCATACTAACCAGAATTATGTGGTAGAGGACAAGTTCGCTTGTTCTCTCTGTAAGCATTGTTTAAACTATCTCTAAATTAATTTAAACGTGTTTTTTCATCTGTCACTTAGGAACTTTATAACATTGTAAAATTTAGTGTAACAAGATTTATAGACTTCTTTGTAAATTCCTATTTAAAGAAAAGCATTATTAATTATGGTACATTTAGGGCTTAAACTGCTACTTTTCAATAGAAGTAGAAGTTGTGAATGATTTGTGTCAGTAACAATGAGCATCCTCCCAGTTAGCAGTTGTATTCATTTACTGTGTATTAGTGATCCTTTGCTGCTATTAAACAAGTACTATAAAGAAATGACACAAATACACATTTAATTCTTTGCTTCATTTCTCCTTTTTTTTACTAATCAGATTTTCATAATAACTCTTTTACCAGAAGTTTCTATGTGGGGAGAAGAACCTGGATGAGCTGATTCAGAGACTGCTTCAATCAGCAGACGAAGAAGCCATTATTGAAATTTTGGATAAAAACCTTAAATCAACAAGATGCTGATTTATTATTACATAAATAAAATGGACCTATGACAAGAAGCTGACTGAGACATGGAAATCTTAGAGAATGTTCTTAAAGAACAGTTAAAAATACACAGTACTCACAAATGTATTTTTTAACGAATTGAATCATATTTCTTGACCTAAGAGTTTATTTTAGGTTTTTGTAAAGTAAAATTTAACTCTTCAAGGAAAAAACAAACACGCATAATTGAAAAGAGAAATAAGGTCTTCAGAATTAGGTCATTTTGGACAGGTCACTTGTTCTTTTTATAGACCCTTTTTTAAAAACCATCTATAAATTTAAACACATTTTTCATCTATTACTTTAGGACTTCATAACATGGGAAAGTTTAGTGATGAGAAGAACTATGAACTTCTTTGTAAGCCCCTACTTAAAGACAAAGTGTTGTTAATTCTGTTACAGCTAGGGCTAAACTTGCTACTTTTCAATAAAAAAACTAAGTTGTGAAGAATGTGAGTCAATAGCTGTAGGGGACCGGCTTGTTTTGGTCTGGCAAATGTGACTCAGCTCCGTATGGAAAACCTGCAGAAGTCAAGTGGTGGGCAGGAGCCAGACCTTCAAACCGAGTTTTCCCATGGGAATCAGGCCTAGAAAATGCATACAAATTGTTATGGCTTGCTCTTGCTAAACCCTGGTCTAAAACAACAAATGTGTATTATCTATCTTCAAGATGATTTCCAAAGCCTGTGTGAATTTCCCCAAGGACAGAGCTAATCAGCTTGCCGCCTTTCCCTTCTGCATATGTTACTTTCATTTCCTTGATTGTACCTAAAATATAGACAGTGATATTCTACGTAATAGATAATAAATCCTTCTTTGATGTGAAACCTGAGAAAAACAATAAAAGCCTGTCTAGGCAGGGTCAGGGCGCTCTCCTCTTGAGAGAGTGGCCATGCCGTTTGTTCCCTTTTTCTCCACAGGGTTGCTGTTGCCTGACGCCTCATCATCAGTTACAACATCAGTTACCAGTCTGCTGGTCAGAGTCTGCCACAAATAACCACGAGTATCTCTAGGATACAGATCATAAAGCTCTTTGAGAGCTGAATGAATTCTGTGCTGTACAAACTGCAAGCCAAAAATCAAAGTAGAGACTCTGCTTGGCTTCTGTTTCTTATTGTTCTTTAGCTTAATTTAGTGAATATCAACAGATGTGGTATAAATTGAGTAATTTACTGCTATCAGTTTTGTGCACTGATATATAAAACCTAGTCCTTACCTCACAGAGATTCCAGTTGAGTGAGGAAGCCAGAATATAATCATACAAAGTGGCATGGTATACAGTAGTCCATATTGTCCAAAGAGAAGTATATTCCAAGGCCCCCAGTGAATGCCTGAAACCATGGATAGTACCAAATACCTATATAGCAGGTCCTCAAATAATGTCATTTTGGTATAATGTTGGTGGAGAAAAAAGAATTGATTCCTGGCCAAGAACACTGTGTGGAGTTCGCACATTTCCCCCATGACTAGGTTTTCTCTGGGTACTCTGATTTCCTCACACATCTCAAAGGTGTGCATGTGAGATGAACTGGCATCTAAATTGTCCTGGTCTGAGTGGGTGTGAGGGTGCCCTGTAGTGGAAAGGTTTCCTGCAGGGGTGGATGCTCACCTTTCACCCTGGTATAGGCTCTGGCCTCCTGTGACCCTGAACTGAAATAAGCAGGCTGGAAAATTGTAATCCCTTGTTTTTATTAATCTTTCTTAAATTTATATATAGTTTGTATTTATTTCAATGTTTAATATTAGAAGTATTTTGGGTTTTTATTTAGAAGTTTGGTGATGTGTTTATGACCAGAAATATGCTGTAGAAACTTAACTCCTGCTTATATCACTTAGCCTATGATAAAATGGTTTTGTCATAAATTGTTTCAATTTGAAGTTTTCAAGAACCTATTGATGTTAAGTGAGGACTTACTGTATATACTATTTTTTTCTATACTTATACATAGCTATAATAAAGTTTAATTTATAAATTAGGCACAGTGAGACATTAACAACAACAATAGTAAAATAGGACAATTATAACAGTATATTGTAATAAAAGTTATGTGAATGTCGTCTCTCAAAAGATCTTATGGTACCGAACTCACCACTCTTGTGATGATGTGAGATCATACAATGCCTGCATGATGAGATGAGTGAGGTGAATAACAGGCAATGTCATGTAGCATTAGGCTACTATAAGGGCTACTTGAACATAAAGCAATACTTGACAGTCTTATCTGGTAACCTAGATGGCTAGGCTAAGTGAGGTATAATTTTCACTAAATTAAATGCGCACATCTTCAGAGATAGTTCATTCAATTTGGCAATTACATATACCTGTAACCATCAGCCCAATTAAGAAGAGAACATTTCCATCACCCCTGAAAGTTTGCTTGTGTTCCTTTCTAATCAGTCCAGAAATCCACCAACTCCCACTCCTCCAATAGTGGCATACCCTGTTCAGACTTTTGTTCAGAGGAGTTTATTTTCATTCTTTAAAATTTCATATAGACGGTCATACAGTACGTACTCTTGTATATCTGGCTTCTTTTGGTCAACACAACATTTTTGAAATTCATTTACATTATTGTGTGCATCAAAGGTTTTTTTTTTAGTAGTATTACATGCTATGAATATAACACACCTAATTTTTATCATTCTATTGATATACATATGGATTATTTTCTGTTTAGGCTATTAAGATTAAAGCTACTATGAAAATTGTTGCACGAGTCTTTTTGTGAACATGTTTTAATTTCCTTTGGGCAAATGCTTAGGAGTGAAATTTTTGGCCATTTTACATTCAAAGAAACTACCAAAGAGTTTTTGAAAGGGGATATACCACTTTACATTCCTTTTATTAATATATAAGGGTTCCAGTGGCTCCGTAGCACCACCAACATTTGGTATTGCTGATCTGTTAAGTTCAGCCACTAGCAGTGTGCAGTGTTTCTTGTGAATTGAATTTACATTCATCTGATGAGGAATGATAAAGGGCAGGTGTTCATGTTTATTGGCCATTAGCTATACATATTATGAATATTTTTTGCAGTTCCATGGCTTGCCTTTTTGTTTTCACTGCTTTTTTATGGGCGTAGCTTGTTATTTTGTTGAAGTTATTTTTATTAAATTGTTTAATGTTAGCATTTTTTGTGTCCTAAAAAATTTTGTCTACCTCAAAGTCACAAAGATAGTCTTGTATGTTTTCTTTTAGAAAATTTATATTTTTCACTTTTTAGTTTATTAAGAACTATGACATATTAATTTTTGTTTTGGTATAAGGAAGGGGTTATGGTTAATATTTTTTTCAACTGTGATCCAGTTGTTCCAACACCATTTGTTGAAAACACTTTTCTTTCTCCACTGAATTACATTGATACCAATTTTTGTGTTTCTAAAATTTAAACACATGCACTAGCTGCATTCATATATACAAGAGGTTTTGGAGAGTAGGGAAAGAAGAATTACTGTGAATGGGTACACAATTTCAGTTTTGCAAGATGAAAAGAGTTCTGGACATGGATGGTTGTGACAGTTGCAAAACAATGTAAGTGTACTTAATGTCAAATGATTTTGAAAAAATTGTTAAAATGATAACTTTTATGTTAGGTATATTTTACCAATATTAAAAAAAATTAAATTGCTTTTCCACCTGCTGGGGTTTATTGCATGTAAAAAAGCAACCGGTGTTACTAATGACTTAATTCTCTCTGCTGTATTTGATGGATACACAATAGAGGTATAGAGGAGATATTGAACCCAGAGACTCAGTTTAAAGTGTCTTACCTGGAGAATTTCCAGTACCCTCACTTCAACTAACAGGAAAGGGAAAAAAGCAATCTGAGAGTTATTCTCCTGCTATATATTACCCACCTATTCATGTAATACCTAAGATTTCATTCATTAGGTAATGGTAACACATGGCAAACTAGCAGCACGAGCAGTCTGGTTTTTAAATAAAAATTGCCTAACTAGGGACTTCGACCAAGATGGAGGCATAGGTGGAAGCACTGTGCCTTCTCACACAACCAAGTTTAAAAACAACAAAGTTTTAGCAACAAAAATGCAGCCAAACCACAGAAAATTGAACTATATGGAAGTCTGACAACAGCGAACCCATCAGCCAAACCGTTAAGAGGGGTGAAGCCAGCAGCAGAGTGGGGTCGGGCAGGAAAGATCCACCAGACCTACCCCGGTGAGCAACCCAGGCACGCAGGCAGCTGTGGGCGGATCCCAGGTGTGGAGTAGCAGGCGGACTTACTGAGGGCAGACCACAGTCACACATTCTAGAGCAGATATACTGGTGAAGGAGCGAGCAGTGAGACAGACCGTGCAGGCCCCAGTGGTGGGAAGCGGCAGAGGGGACCGCCATTGTCCCTCTCTAACCCCACCCCCACATACAGCCTCACAAACCAGCAACCTGGGTGGCCACACCCTGGTGAACATCTAAGGCTCCGCTCCTCATACCTAACAGGTGCAAACAGCAAAACATGACTCAAGAACAACTCAGAGCCCCAGAGCCAATAAATCTAAGTGATGAAGAAATAGCCAAACTTTCAGATGCACAGTTCAAAACACTGGTGATCAGGATACTCACAGAACTGGTTGATTTTACTCACAAATTAGAGGAACATATGAAGGCTAAACTAATTCAAATGAATGGTAATGCACAGGAAACCAATAGTAATGGAAAGGAAACTGGGACACAAATCAAAGTAGTGGACCAGAAAGAGAAAAAAAAATGACCAAACAGAAAAGGATGAAGAAAGAAGAATTCCAAAAAAATGAGGAGAGGTTTAGAAACCTTCAGGACACCTTTAAACGTTCCAACATCCAAATTATAGGGGTACCAGAAGGGGAAGAGGAACAGCCACAAGTGGAAAACTTATTTGAACAAATAATAAAAGAGAACTTCCCCATTCTGGCAAAGGAAATAGACTTCCAGGAAATCAAGGAAGCTCAGAGAGTCCCAAAGAAGGTGGACCCAAGAAGGAACACACCAAGGCACATCATCATTATATTAGCCAAGATTAAAATGAAGGAGAGAATCCTAGAAGCAGCAAGAGATAAGGGGACTGTCACCTACAAAGGAGTTCCCATCAGACTGTCAGCGGATATCTCAAAAGAGACCTTACAGGCAAGAAGGGGCTGGAAAGAAGTATGCCAAGTCATGAAATCCAAAGACCTACATCCAAGATTGATCTATCCAGCAAAGCTTTCATTTAGAATGGAAGGGCAGATAAAGTGCTTCTCAGATAAGATCAAATTCAAGGAGTTCATCATCACCAAGCCCTTATTATATGAAATGTTAAAGGGACTTATCTAAGAAAAAGAAGATAAAAAAGGACAGCAACTCAGTTATTAAGAACCACACCTAAAACAAAAGCAAACTAAGAGGACAGCTAGATCAGGACCAGAACCATAGAAATGAAGATCACATGGAGGGTTAGCAACACTAACCCTCCATGGGGAGCGGGGGAAGGAGAAGGGGGGAGAAGGTACAGAAAATAAGTAGCCTGGACGGTAGGTAGAAAATAGGGGGGAGGGCAAGAATATATGGGAAATATAGAATCTAAAGAACTTGAGACATGTGGTCATAAACTAAAGGGGGGGAAGGGTGGGGGAGGGGTATGCAGGGTGGAGGGGAATGAAGGGGGGAAATAGAACAACTGTAATGGCATAATCAATAAAATATATTTTAAAAATTGCTTAACTAAAAAAATCACTAAGCACTTGATTTTGAAAATTCAACTAGCAGACAAAGCTAAATATATATTATATTAACATATATATGTAAATGAGGGGGACCTCTCCATCAGAATTTATTTATAAAAAATTGTGCATTTATTCTTATATGTTTAAACTTCAGTCACCTTCAAAGTACTCTCCATTTGATGCAACGCACCTATGGAGACATTCTCCACTGCTCCAGTTTTTGAACTCATTGATTTTTATGCCTTTTAGTGCTTCTGGGTTTTGTTTGTTTGTTTGTTTGTTTGTTTGTTTCACCACTTACATAGTGGCAAAATGTTTCCCTTTGAAGACTTCTTTCATCCAAAGAAAATAAAAAAGTTGCTTGAGGTGAGATCTCATGCATAGTGTGGGTAGGGCAAGGGGGTCATGCTGTTTGGGTAAAAAACTGCTGAACAGTCAGCATGGTGTGGGCAGATGCATCATAAATCAGTCATCATGAAATGGGCAAATGCGTTGAAAGAATTTTCAAAAAAAATTCACTAAAGCCAAATGCGACTTCACAACACCACCATCTGGTACACTGATACAGGTGGGTTCCTAGACCACTCACCCAGCAGGGGGAAGCTTGTATTACAAGGGACCTCCAGAAGATAATTCTGGATTTTGGGGGGATCCCCCTCATTTATACATACATATACATGCACAAGCATTAACTCCACTATATAAATTTAAAGTACTAACTCTACTATATAAATTTAAGAAATGTCAGGGCATATATGAATACCAAGCTCTGAGGATCTTGTGCTTTTGTACAATGCAAGGTCTGTTTGTTAAAATATTTTAATTTAAAATTCCCATTAAAACTTAATGGGAGGACTTCGGCCAAGATGGCGGTGTAGGTGGAAACACCTTGCGTCCCCGCATAACCAAATCTAAATAGTTTTAACAATAATAAACGCAACCAAACCACACAGAAAATCAACAATATGGAGTCCGAAAACAATAAAATGCTCAGCTAAACTGGTGAGAGGGGTGAAGCCAGCAGCGGAGTGGGTTGGCCAAAAATATCCCCGACCAGGGTGGTGCACAGGAAGCCGAGGGCGCGGATCCCAGGTGCCGGGTAGCCACGGGCGGACACAGGGAAGAGGTGTGGCCGGCTGTCTGTGGTTGGTCGAGCATTTGCACACAGATAAACCAGTGAAGAGGCAAGCGTTGAGACCACATGGCCGCAAGCTCTCACATTTCCGCTCAGATAAACAGGCGGGGGCAAGCAGTGGGACGGCCAGGGTGAGCGGAGAGGACCGCCATTGCTCCCTCTCTGACCCCACCCCCACATACAGCATCACAAACCAGCAACCTGGGTGGCCCCTCCCTGGTAAACAACTAAGGCTCTGCTCCTCATACTAACAGGCACAAACAGATAAAAACATGGCTCAAGAACAACTCAGAGCCCCAGAGCCAATAAATCTAAGTGATGAAGAAATAACCAAACTTTCAGATGCACAGTTCAAAACACTGGTGATCAGGATGCTCACAGAACTGGTTGATTTTAGTCACAAATTAGAGGAACATATGAACGCTAAACTAATTCAAATGAATGGTAATGTACAGGAAACCAATAGTAATGAAAAGGAAACTGGGACTCAAATCAAGGGAGTAGACCAGAAGGAAGGAAAAAATGACCGAACAGAAAAGAATGAAGAAAGAAGAATTCAAAAAAATGAGGAGAGGCTTAGAAACCTTCAGGACATCTTTAAATGTTCCAATATCTGAATTATAGGAGTACCAGAAGGGTAAGAGGAACAGTCACGAGTGGAAACCTTATTTGAACAAATAATAAAAGACAACTTCCCCATTCTGGCAAAGGAAATAGACTTCCAGGAAATCAAGGAAGCTCAGAGAGTCCCAAAGAAGGTGGACCCAAGAAGGAACACATCAAGGCACATCATCATTACATTAGCCAAGATTAAAATGAAGGAGAGAATCCTAGAAGCAGCAAGAGATAAGGGGACAGTCACCTACAAAGGAGTTCCCATCAGACTGTCAGCTGATTTCTCAAAAGAGACCTTACAGGCAAGAAGGGGTGGAAAGAAGTATTCCAAGTCATGAAATCCAAAGACCTACATCCAAGATTGCTCTATCCAGCAAAGTTTTCATTTAGAATGGAAGGACAGATAAAGTGCTTCTCAGATAAGATCAAATTCAAGGAGTTCATCATCACCAAGCCCTTATTATATGAAATGTTAAAGGGACTTACCTAAGAAAAAGAAGTTAAAGAAACATGAACAGTGAAAGGACAGCAAACTCACAGTTATTAACAACCACACGTAAAACAAAAGCAAACTAAGAGGATAGCTAGATCAGGAGCAGAACCATAGAAATGAAGATCTCCTGGAGGGTTAGCAACAGGGGAGTGGGAAAAGGAGAAGGGGGGAGAAGGTATAGAAAATAAGTAGCATAGACAGTAGATAGAAAATAGATAAGGGGGAGGGTAAAAATAGTAGGGGAAATACAGAATCTAAAGAACTTGAGACACGTGTTCATGAACTAAAGGGGGGGGAATGGTGGGTGAGGGGTGTGCAGGGTGGAGGGGAACGGAGGGGGAAATAGAACAAATGTAATGGCACAATCAATTAAAAAAATAAAATAAATAAAAATTAAAAATTAAAAAAAAACCTTCTTAATGGAAGGTCCTCATTAGAGAGCTCAGTTGGTTAGAGTGTCATCCAGAGTTGACCAATGAATGCATCAATAAATGGAACAACAAATCATTATTTCTCATACTGCCTCTTTCTCTCCCCCTTCCTCTGTCTAAAACAAACAAAAACAAAAATAACAATAACAACAATAAAAATAATTGCAAATAAATGGTGTTGGAAAAATTGGACAGATACATGCAGCAAAATCAAACTAGATCATTTTCTTATACTACACACAAGAATAAATTCAAAATGGGTCAAAGATTTAAAGTTAGACACAAAACCATAAAAATCCTAGAAGAAAACAAGTCAGCAAAATCTCAGACATTGCTCATAGCATTTTTTAATCAGATACATATCCCCAGGCAAGGAAAAGAAGAAAAATAAACAAATGGGACTACATCAAACTAAAATGTTTTTGCACAGCAAAGGAAATCAGCAAAATAAAAAGACAACCCACAGAATGGGAGAACATATTCACTGATACATCTAATAAGAGTTTAATATCCAAAATTTATGAAGTACTTACAAAACTCAACACCAAAAAATAAATAAATAAACAACCCAATAAAAAATAGGCAAAACTGAATACACATTTCTCCAAAGAGGACATGCAGATGGCCGATAGACATATGAAACGATGCTCAACATCACTAATCACTGGGGAAATGAGAAAACCACAATGAGGTGCCATCTCACACCTATCAATCAGAACGAGTGTCATCAACAAACAACAAGTGCTGGGAAGAATGTGAAAAAAAGGAGATCCTTTTGCACTGTCAGTGAGAATGCAGACTGGTGCTGCTACTGTGGAAAACAGTATGGAGATACATCAAAAAATTAAAAAATGGATTTGTCTTTGATCCCAGCGATTCCACTTGTGGAAATATATCTGAAGGAGTCCAAAACACTGATTGGAAAGAACATAAGCACCCTTATGTTCACTGCAGCATTGTGTACAGTCACCAAGATATGGAAGCACCCCAGTGTCCATCAACAGATGAGTGGATAAAAGACCTATGGGACATTTACACAATAGAATACTAGTTGTCCATAAAAAAGAAAATTGTACCCTTTGCAGCAGTATGGATGGACCTGGAGAACATGATGCTAAATGAAATAAGCCAGTCAGAGAAAGACATGTAGCATATGATTTCATTCTTATGTGGAATCTAATGAACAAACTGAACAAGGAAAATGGGGACCAACCCTTAGTTGAAGAGCAGGATGATAGCTGGCCAGGGGGTGGTGTAGGGGATGGAGGGATTGAGCAAAAGGGAAAAGGGACTTATGGACATGGACAATAATGTGTTGATTGCTAGGGGAAGGGGAGCATAAGGGGACTAAAAGGTAATGTAAAAAAATGCAATAAAAAACTATTTTAAATCTCCAAAACAAAAAGTTCCATTCATAAGGGGAGTAAAAATAATTGTGAAGTATTTAGCAACTTCCAATGCAGTTACAATACCTTGGAATGCTAAAAATTGGAGTTTGGTAGAACATTACTTAAGTTAGAGTAAAAAATAAAGACATACCAAACAGAAATTAAAAAACAATTTCAGAATCTTCAACTGATTTATAGAAAGGGAAAGGAGCAGTATTAGACAACTTAAAAACACTCATATTAAGAGGCTATAAAAGTAATCGTGTTCCCTGGAAGAAGTGTTGATTTGGTGAGATACTGGCCCAATCTATTTATATCCTCTATTTGTATATTTGAGGCCATCGATTTGTATATTTGTTTTGTTTTGAGGCCGCTCTAGGACCTGTATATTCTGAGACGTCTTAACCTATGCATAGTGTTCAGTATTGAAACTATTGTTAAATGCCCTTCACAAACTTTCAAAAGAAGCAACACGAAAAAGTGAAAAATTCCTTTACAGAAATTCCTCACGGTTTCAAATAAGGGGGTGTCTCATTTCTATAAATTCTAAAAGTAAAGCTAACAATAATTAAATCTTTATATACCAGGCATGGTGTAAGCACTTAATTACTGTTCTAACCAACAAACATTTATTGAAACTTCTTGTGTCTTATGCAATTTATCTCATTCTATCCAAACATGATCCTATGAACATTTTCCTTATTTTACAAAGAGAGAAAAGTTCTTAAAGACAAATGACATAACGTAATGAATACTAAAACGGGGCTGCTAGCCTCGATTTCAAAGCCGAGGCTTTAAACTATAAAATCTTCAGGTAATGCTTTTCTGATTCTGCTAGCCAAAGTAGTTTCTACCTAAAAAAACCTCGTGCTGTTACTCAACTACTACTCCCAACATGCAAAGCGGCTTTTGCCCATCAGCCCCCGCAAACCTCGAGGCGCGAAAGGCAACCTGGGAGTCGCAGTTCAGGATTTGAACCAGTGTTGCCAGTGCGGCTGCGGGTGCTCTCAGGGTTTCGCCCACCGGGTTCAGTGAGGGCGAGCGGAGCCGAGGCGGAGAAGGGCGTGAAACTGGAAGAGGGTGAGTCAGGCGGTCCCCACGCGATAAAGGGAGGCGGCACTGCTGTGTGGGGTTGAGTTAGGTAGGTGCGGCCCCTGCTCCGCGGAGTACTCAGGGACGCCGGGGCTTTTGGTTTTTGTTTTGTTTTTTTGTTTTGTTCGTTTTTTGTTTTTTTGGACTGGCGAGAGCTGGGTGAGGAGAAGCCAGAGCCCGGCCCTTAGCAACGGTTCTCGGACTCAGCTCCCGCCGCCATCTCCACCATGCAGTCCCGGGAAGACGCCCCGCGCTCTCGCCGCCTCGCCAGTCCCCGTGGTGGGAGGCGACCCAAAAGGGTTTCCAAACCCTCGGTCTCGGCTTTCTTCACGGGCCCGGAAGAGCTGAAGGACACTGCTCATTCTGCAGCCCTGCTGGCAGAGCTCAAGTCTTTCTATGATGCGCGCCTGCTGTGTGATGTGACCATCGAGGTGGTGACGCCTGGCAGTGGGCCTGGCACAGGCCGTCTTTTTTCCTGCAACCGCAATGTGCTGGCTGCCGCATGTCCTTACTTCAAGAGCATGTTCACCGGCGGCATGTACGAGAGCCAGCAGGCGAATGTGACCATGCACGATGTGGATGCCGAGTCCTTTGAGGTGTTGGTTGAATATTGCTACACGGGTCGTGTGTCTCTGAGTGAAGCCAACGTGCAGCGCCTCTATGCCGCCTCTGATATGCTACAGCTGGAGTATGTTCGGGAAGCCTGTGCCTCCTTCCTAGCCCGCCGCCTTGACCTGGCTAACTGCACCGCCATCCTCAAGTTTGCCGATGCCTTCGACCATCATAAGCTGCGATCACAGGCCCAGTCCTTTATAGCTCACAATTTCAAGCAGCTCAGCCGGATGGGTCCGATTCGGGAGGAGACTCTGGCAGATCTGACTCTGGCCCAGCTGCTGGCTGTCCTGCGCCTGGACAGTCTAGACATTGAGACTGAGCGGACAGTGTGTCATGTGGCCATGCAGTGGTTGGAGGCGGCTCCCAAGGACCGGGGTCCCAGCGCGGCAGAAGTCTTCAAGTGTGTCCGCTGGACACACTTCACTGATGAAGATCAGGATTACCTGGAAGGGCTGTTGACTAAGCCCATTGTGAAGAAGCACTGCCTCGGCCTTATTGAAGGAGCTCTGCAGATGCGATATGGTGACATGTTGTACAAATCTGTGGTGCCAAAGACTGACAGCAGCAGCAGCAGCAGCAGCTGTATTGTATCCGCAGTAGAAAATCCTCCCCAGCGGCTGGGTATGTGTGCCAAGGAGATGGTGATCTTCTTTGGACATCCCAAAGATCCCTTTCTCTGCTATGACCCATACTCGGGGGACATTTACACAATGCCATCACCTTTGGCCAGCTTGGCTCACACTAAGACTATCACCTCCTCCGCTGTCTGTGTCTCTCCAGACCATGACATCTATCTCGCTGCCCAGCCCAGGAAACACCTCTGGGTATATAAACCAGCCCAGAATAGTTGGCAGCAACTTGCAGATCGCTTGCTCTGTCGTGAGGGCATGGATGTGGCCTACCTCAATGGCTACATTTACATTTTGGGTGGGCGAGACCCTATCACTGGGATTAAATTGAAGGAAGTGGAATGCTACAGTGTCCAGAGGAACCAGTGGGCACTGGTGGCTCCTGTACCACATTCCTTCTATTCCTTTGAACTAATAGTGGTTCAGAACTACCTTTATGCTGTGAACAGTAAGCGCATGCTCTGTTATGATCCTAGCCACAATATGTGGTTGAACTGTGCTTCTCTTAAACGTAGTGATTTTCAGGAAGCTTGTGTCTTCAATGATGAAATCTATTGCATCTGTGACATCCCAGTCATGAAGGTCTATAATCCAGCCAGGGGAGAATGGCGGAGGATTAGCAATATTCCCTTGTTCTCAGAAATTCACAACTATCAGATTGTCAGTCATGGTCAAAAGTTGCTCCTCATCACTTCTACCACCCCGCAATGGAAAAAAAACAGGGTGACTGTGTATGAATATGATACTAGAGAAGACCAGTGGATTAATATAGGTACTATGTTAGGTCTTTTACAGTTTGACTCTGGCTTTATTTGCCTCTGTGCTCGTGTTTATCCTTCTTGCCTTGAACCTGGTCAGAGTTTTATCACTGAGGAAGATGATGCACGGAGTGAGTCTAGTAATGATTGGGACTTAGATGGATTCAGTGAGCTGGACTCTGAGTCAGGAAGTTCAAGTTCGTTTTCTGATGATGAAGTCTGGGTACAGGTTGCACCTCAGCGAAATGCACAGGATCAGCAGGGTTCTTTGTAAATATTTTGAAACATTAAGATGTCTCTACTGCTATGTAATATATCTTTAAAAAATATTCTTTCTTTTTCCCGAAAAAGAAAGAATTTGATTAGGACCACAGATTTGGTATAGAAAGGCTGATGTTTGAAATTAAGAAGCTGATGAAATCAACCTATACAGTAATTTACTGTGTTGAAATCAAGATTAAAATGTGCAAAATGAAATATATAATAAATTAGAATGCATGGTAGTTTTTTCTTCATTCAAGTATTCATTGTATTGATTAGTTGCATTGTTTATATTTTAATTATATAGTCTGTTAACTTTTTAATTTAGTGCCATGGGAATTTAACTTTAATTTTTAAAATAGAAAATTGGACTGGAAACTGTTAATAGGATTTTGAGGGTTCATACTATCCTTCAAAATAATGAAAGTAGTAAATTTAACAAGTTTTAAAGTAATCAGCTTTTAGTATTTTAAGTTAATATAATTTGTTAAAATTGGGTTTGGTTTTCTTCCCTTTTGCAAATGAAATAAATTGAACATGTAAAGCTTATTAAATAGTGATTTCATTTGGATACAGTCAAAGTGTAAGAGCTCAAAGAAAGTTTTTAAAAAAAGGATTGCATGGTTTTAAAAGAAATTTAGCTTTTACTTTTGAAATATAATGTATTTTTGCTAAACATGACCATTTTTCTATCTTCAAAAACATCCATTCTAGTACTGTCACCAATTATTTAAATACCCTTCTAAACCCTCCCACCCCCCAAAAAATTGGTGATTTGTAAGTTCATATATAACCTGATACATATTTCATTGAATCAGAGAAACAATCCTTTTTTTCACTGGACATATCATCAGGTAATGTGAATTTTATCCATTGGTCATACCCTGTCTTAAAAAGTCTATGTGCTATTTTGAAATATTTTAGCTGTATACTTTTGGTGTTTTTCTTAGAGGATTCTTCAGCAGGGAGTGATTTATTCTTTACTGTTTTGTGAGGTAATAATTGGTTTTGAAAATATGTATAATCTAAAAATGTATTTCATTGAGATCAGTAGTTACCGTGTCCATAAACTATAAAATCAAGGGTCAGTAGAGAACTTTAAAACTTTAAGCTATGTATAGAACTGTTTTGTGTAGCATTGAAATATTTTGTCACTTTTGTAAGTTACTATAAATGATTATCAGCTTGAAGGTATTTTTGTATTAAAAGTGGAGAGTTAAAGAACATAAGTGGATGCTGGCAACAGTGAAAGTACATTTCCTCCAAAATATTTCCCTAAGCAGTGGTATGCATGATTATTTTATTAGAGTATTTGTATCTGTTCTGTAGTTCTTTGTGAACCAACACTCCAAACTTTGGATTCTGTTTTTAATTTTTATTTATTTATTTTTGTATATCACCATAATGTAAGAGAAAGTCCAGAAGTAGAAACTAAATTGCACAAGATTGATATTGTTAAATACAAGAACATATAGGTGCTTACCTTTTAAGAGGGTCTGTAAATATATGTGATTTTCATAATAAAATGGTGTACATATTATTCCACTCAGAATTATTTGAATCTTTGTTCAGATTCAAATTCTTTTTCTCTGTTTATTCTCTAGTGACCAAATGCTAACATTTCTTATACCCTGGTAGTCTTGAGGAGTGTCCATTGATAACAGGGAAGGTAAAAGCACTGCTCTTAACATAGAAAGCAATTTCTCTATAGTGGGTTGGTTTTTTGGATTTTTTGGCTTTTTATCACCCCTAACTTCTTGATAGCCTTTTGTTTTGTAAGGTTGAAATGAGACAGTGCTTATCTCAACCAGATTATCCATCTGCAGAATTAAGTTATACAGCTGACTGATAAAAGATAAGTTCTCTAAATTGTCATTCTCAGCCTTTAAGATAGCTTATAAGCTAATTAGTAGTAAAATCTTGGTATACAAAGAGGTTTTCTTGGGAAGGGTTTTGGTTTGGTCATATGTTTGTGAATTAGGGAATAGATGTTAATCATTATTTTAAAGATAAGTGATCTGTACGTGGTTAGTTACAAATAAAACTAGCACTAGAACTCAGGCCTTTTGATCTCTTTAATTGTTTCTCCTAAATGTGAAACCCTTACTTAGGCGTTGAGCAACACAACCAACAGTGTTGAAATCCCTTTCTGACAGGAAAATACCTGTCTCTCAGGTTTAAAATTAATTGGCACATTTTTAAACAAATGCTCAATATAATGTCATTTTCAGGACCACTCTTTGTAAGATTTAGAATAATCTTAATTATTTTTTGTATCTATGTGCTTCTAGTCTGAAAACCTTAATTCAATTTATTTCAATACTTTAAAAATTCAAATGATAAAGTGGCATTGGTGGTTTTCAAAGGGTAAAAGACTAATTTAGCAAATAACTTGTTTAATTTAGGTTTAGGGTTAAATTTAAATTACAGTTTGCTTCTCACTGCTCATTAAACTAGTGTTTGCCTGATGTGATTTTTACCAGTCTGTACTGAAATGAGGAAAAAATACAAAACACGGTGAATGAGTCGTAAACTGAAATTATTTAATTAAATTTTTTAATGTTCAGAAATTGGAAATATAAAAAGTTTGCGGCCATATGTCAGTCCCTAAACTTTAAAAGAAGTTTACTTGTCTTTTTTTAAAAAAGATTTTATTATTTTATTTTTAGAGAGCAGGAAAGGGAAGGGGAGAGAGAAACCTCAGTGTGTGGTTGCCTCTCTTATGCCCCTACCTGGGGACCTGGCCTGCAACCCTGACAGAATCCAATCAGCAGACCTTTGGTTTGCAGACTGGCATTCATTCCACTGAGCCACACAAGCCAGGACAGTTTACCTGTCTTTGAAATCCTTAAATGTGATGCCCAGAATATAATAGTCTGCTTATATGTGTACTCTATAGTCTGCTTTAGATTTGTACTCTTGGAATCATTTATGTTGCATACCTCTTAGCAGTTTTACTTTACTTCTGTCATCTCATCAGGTAACTCCTGTAGCTTTTTGTTGTTTTTTAATTTTAATAACCTATTTTATTTAACCCAATTTATGCAAAATATTATCATTTCAACAAGTAACCAATACTGTGTGAAAGCCAGATATTTTATATTCTTTTTCCACACTAAGTCTGAAACTCTGTATTTTACAAGAACTATAACACACCTTATTTTGCATAAGCAGTTTTTAATAGCTGTGTGTGGCTACTGTATTAGAGAGCATAGATCTAGATTTTATGACTTTACTCTAAAACTGAAGTTATTCCTTTCAATGCAGGGACACTGAGGTCCTGGTCCCTAGTGCTCTCCCATAGCCTTTTTAACATTTCAGTACCTTTTCATCATTACACCTTTAAAAGAATATTCATTATAACAAATATGATAAAGCATTAGGAGGCAAAATTATAGAAAATGTGACTACCAATCTTAAGAGAATTAATTGATAAGTTATTTTTAGAACCATTGAGATGGTTAAATATATACAAACCAGTTTTTTAACAAAGAAAAAAAGGGTACGCAGAAACTGCCAAGTCTTAGAGTACCAGACAGGCAATGGGTTTTGTGTCCTCTCGACTCGGGGCCATGTGGTCGCCCATTCCCGCCAGCTCCTGTTTCTCATTTCTTTAACCTTGTGGACTAAACATGGTCCAAGACACAGTGTAGGGAACAGATACTGTTGCATACCATTCCCTCCATTTTAGACACATTTTCTCAGAAACCATCCTACTTTGGGCAGTTGCCTCTTTCCCATTGAATCAATGTTTTATATTTTTATAGTTTCCAAAGCAATTTTAGCCACTTGTAACCATATTTATTTTAAAAGTTTTACAGCACAGAAGTTATTTATTTATTTAAGATTTTATTTATTTATCTTTGGAAGGGAAGGGAAGGAGAGAGGGAAAGAAATATCAATGTATGGTTGCTTCTCGTGCGACCCCTGCTGGGAACTGGCCTGCAACCCAGGCATGTGCCCTGACTGGGAATCAAACCGCGATCCTTTGGTTTGCAGGCCCGTGCTCAATCCACTGAGCTACACCAGCCAGGGCTAGCACAGAAGTTTTTAATAAGCACTACATTAGTATGGAAAACACAGAGCCTGTAGCTTATCCTTTAAAACCAAAATAACCAACTGAAAGGTCAGTACAGGTTCTTATTTTTTACTTAAATCTAAGGTACACATTGGGAATTGAACTACTATGATTTTTCTTTCTAGAGCTGTGACATCTATGTTTTGTGGTCAGTAATGTTCTATCAAACATGCTAAGCTAGCAATTTTCAGCCTTTTTCATCTCATGGCATACATTAATTAATAAAATTCTGCAGCACACCAAAAAATACAGTTTTTGCCAATCTGGTCAAAAGGGGGTGTGTGTGTGTGTGTGTATACATACACATATATATTTTTTTCTAAATCCTCACCCAAGACATGCTTACTGATTTAGAAGAAGGGAGGGAGGGAGAGGGAGTGAAACATTGTTGTGAGAGAGAAATAATGGATTGGTTGCCTCTTTCTTGTGCCCTGACTGGGGACTAAATGCACCTGGTTTGTGGGGTGATGTTCCAACCAATTAAGCCACATTAGCTAGGGCAAAATTTTGATTCATTCATACCAGACAGCTATTGTATTGACTATCATCGTCTTTTTTTATTTGACAGTCTAAGGGAAAAGAGGTCAGTATCCTGGACTAAATAGTCAGGTATTGCATGTTTTAGAAATTCTTCTGGCACGTCACTGTGCCTCTTATGACACACAAGTTGAAAACTACTGTGCTAAGTCAAAGCAGATAAATGAGCTATGTCCTATTCCTGCTGAGCTAGACCAGTAGAACACCATCTTAGTAGAAAGATTTTGACAGGAAGAAGGAATTGTAGAGCCCCTATCCCAACAGAAAAATGAACAAACTGATTTATACATAAAGGGTTTTAAGCAAACCTGCACGAACACTTAACATGGTATTAGGAGAAAAAGATACCTTTAGCTTGTTTGCAGCATAAGCACACATTCACTGGTACCCAGTAAAATAGCAGTGCTGACAGCATTTTTGCTTTCATAACATGAACAAAAAACACAGCATATACTTTGATGTTGAAGTGGGTGATTCTGTTAGGTTCCAATGTTATATCCACTTAGGTTAGTGTGAATATTCATCTATATTTTTTCAAAAATGCTTTAAAAAGAATCCTAGAAACTGGACTACATCATGACCAGCAGAAGAGAGAGATACTGGGATGGCAAATTAAGACTAGGAATTAATTTTCACATGTAGCTTTTAAGTAAAGGACATCTCTCAGTTGTTCCTACAGCCAGGACTAGCTATGACAGTGGGAGCTCCAGAACTCTCAAGATAGACTGCTGACTTGACTAACACCATAAATAAATACCCCCAAACAGTAAAAACACCATTTAGGCTGAGGACTGAAATTTTTAAGCATGGAAAAAGCTGTATGTGCACAAAAAGACTCATGCAAAGCCTGCTGGGACAGAGAGGGCGGTGATGTGGGTGCTGACACACCAACACATATGCTGGAGAAGGCCCCCAAGGTGGGATGCTGGATGTGGACTTGCTCCAGTGGAGCCTGGCTCAGAAGACCCTGAAAGAGGTGTCCACTTGGGGAGGAGTAGCAGTTACTGAACACAAGGTTTTTCTGGAGAAACAGGTCCCAGGAAGATCAGGTAATTTTTTTTAACCCATCAATACTTAATGAAGAGTTGCAGAACAGAGCCAGCCTTTCCAAGATGCATACTTCTGTCATTATCTGAAGGCTTTTACAGTATACTGAACTGACAATGTCCAGAACAATCTCATTTCCTGGAGGTGGGAACTAGTGCTACTGGTCGTTCTGGGAAACTGGCATAGAGAATAATTTACACAATGAAGTCACCACCAAACCACTACTTAAATCCAGTCCTGGCCTTTTTCTGCTCTGTAGTCCAGAATCGTTTCTTTAAAAGCCAGAAAATCAGTACACATTAGCAGCATATAGAGTACGTCATCAGCCACTTCATCTTTTGGTGCTGTTACATTGTTGTGAAAGCTGCCATGTTAAATCTAGGAACCTGCTCCCGCAGCTGTTATTCAATATACTTTTCTACCAAACATATTTTTGTTTAAAATAGCACATAGATGAGTTTATTCTATTACCTGTTTTCAAACTCCTGATAGTACTTGTCCATGAAATTTCTCTATAATAACTAGAACTCATTATCCATGATAATGTCCTTTAAATATCCAACCACAGCATCAATTCTACATCAGAGGCCAAAGAAAAATGAAAGAGCATAAACTCTTTCCTCTAGGGCAGCAATTTTCAACCAGTGTGCTACAGGAATTTCAAAAACAGGCAATACTTGACTAGGGTCACTGCCCTCTTTTCCCTTAGACTGTCAAATAAAAGAAAATGACAACAGCCAACACAACAATAGCTGTCTGGTGTGAATGTCCCGTCTTGAACTATAAATATATAGGTCAGATAATAGAGTTGCATCTTATTGGTCATGTCACATAATAAAGGTGAGCCTGATTGGCTAACCCTTGGTACCAGAAATCTTTATGTACAAGTATAGGCACTTGATTTTTTAAAAAGTTGCTTTGGAAAAAAAGGTAGATAATTGTGTTACTATTCTTTAAATCAATCAAAATATACCCATTTTTGTCAGATCAGCAAAAATGTATTTTTTGGTATGCCACAGAATTTTATTATTTAGTTTTTGTGTATTATGAAATGAAAAAGGTTTAAAACCATTGTTTTAGGGCTTCTATCTCCTCCACCACACAGGCCAGCCAGCAGATTGCCTTCTTCCCCACCTGTGGGCAGGGCCCAACCTCAGTCTGCTCCACAGAGCCCCAACTCACAAGGGGAGGCCTGGCCTCCAAGGTGGCAGCAGAGTCAGAGCTCAGCCAGGTCAGGGCCTGTTCACCAGGCCCTGATCTCAGGCTCCCCTGCTGCAGCCTCTCCCCTGCCATCCAGGCTTCCATGGTGGACCAGGCTCCTGCCCCAGGTTGGGGCAGTGTGCAGTGTTGTTTACTGACCTCAACTATATCTTAATCAGGAAGATTTTGGAGGTGGGGTAGTGGGACAAATACTTTGTTAATTCTGGGGAAACCAGAAAATACCAATGGTCCAGAGTCTCAATGAACTTAAAGCTTTCTCTGTACAGAGAAGAAAACAGGGCAATATTTTCCTCTCACTTAATACATTAGTTAGGATGTAGGTG